ATCTGTCTGTACACAGCTAGCTCATGTGTGTGAGGCAGAGGAGTGTATTGTTGAAGGTATCCCACTACAGATCCCTGGGGCTCACAGTAGGGTAGTAGGCAGATAATGGATAGGCCAAGAGTGCGCACCTTGGAAACAGACCTTTTTCAGAAAGGACTTTTCTCATTCCTTACTGTGCCTGGGCAAGGCTTGTAGCAGTTAAACTCAACTGACAATTGGAAATCCTTAACTGAAGGGGGAAGTTAAAAGGAATTAACCGGAAAATTCCAAACTAAAGTAAAGAAAGTTGAAATTGTTCCAGTTGTCCAATCAAATTAAACCTGCGTGGCCATATAAAAAAAAAAAAACAGCAACTCTAAAGTCTCTTGTTTGCTCTACACAAGGCAAGAATAATTATATAGATCATGGTTTGTTTATGGGTTTTTTGTTTTTCCAACCACATCATACAGCCCAGTCCTCCTAGTGAAGATACCCAATGACACACATTCAAGTAAAATTGTGAACTGATGAGACAACCTGTATCTCAAAGTGAATACAATCCTCTTACAAAGTGACTTGATTGACAGAATCAAACTGCAGTTAGATTAAGAATAATTAGAACATTAAAATGTTACATGGGTATTTTCATGTCCAGCCCTTTGGGTTGTAATGCTCATTATTCAGTTCCCTTTGTGTCTGCCAATGCTGTTCTTCATTTGTGCAGATATTAGCTTTGGGCCGGAAGAACAGGATAACCTACAGCACTAAGATGAACCAGCACAGCTCTCGCTCACATGCCCTGCTCACTGTCACTGTCACTGGCACGGACCTGGCAAACGGGGCCAAGACCACTGGTAAGGAAGAGTGCAGGCCATGCAGTAACTCTGAAACTGGAGACCCCGGTCTTTATGGAATTCCAGAAGTTAATTTGTCACAGTGTCGTAGAGTGTGTTGCAGAGACCAATGCCAACAAGAGACTCTCAAGCTTGCTTTTGCTGTCCAGGCTGGGATTGAACCCTATTCTGAATTTTTCGGCCCATGTGAAAGAGAGTATTTCAAGAGGAAAGAATGGTCAGGGGCAAGGGAATTTCAAAGAGCATCACCAGAAAACCATTTTGTAGACATTTATAGCAGAGCTATTCTTTAGCATGTTTTGTTGTTTGGCTTTCGGCAAACAGAGCCCAAAGTAATCTTGAATTCACTGAAGTTTTCTTAGCAAATATTTCTGTGGCGCAGTGGTTAGCATTGCCATCTCCCAGTGCTGGCTCCAAACCGATTTCAGACCTGGGCTGCTATCTGCATGGAGTTGCATGTTCTCCCTGTGTTTCTGCAGATTTCTTCCCAAACCCCAAAGACATAATGGAAGAGTAATTGGCTTCAGGCGAAATTGGACTTGGTGTGAGTTTGTACGTTTTTGTGTCTCTCGTCATGGGCTGGCATCCCATCCAGGGTGTATCCTGCCTTGTTACCCCCTTGACCCTGTATTAGATACAGCAGTTAAAAATGTGTGAAGTTCTATTCAGTTTTTGCCAAGCAATGGATTATTCAGTCACTCTTCCACACTTATAGCACTGATAGAAAATCATTGTTGTCAACATCCGACTGCAGCATAATACATTGATTTTTGTAATGAGCCCCACAGAAAGGCTACAGTGCAACAGCTGTCATTTCTTGTGTTTGGAATGTCCAGGGAAGCTGAACCTGGTGGACCTGGCGGGTTCAGAGCGCGTGTGGAAGTCTGGGGCTGAAGGTGAGAGACTCAAGGAAGCCCAGAACATCAACCGCTCCCTGCTGGCTCTGGGGGACGTCATCCAGGCTCTGAGGGGCAAGCAGACCCACATTCCCTTCAGAAACTCCAGACTTACTTACCTGCTGCAAGATTCTCTCGGCAAAGGCAACAAGACTGTGATGGTGGTACAGGTATGGGTCCAAGAGGAGGTGGAGAAACATAGGGCAGAATCAGAGGTCAAACTATTGGGAGCTGTTCAATCTCCTTGCATTATGACTACTTTTACATTTTTCATCACTGTGTCTGTATTTGAGCTACCACATAACAATAAAAATAAGTACCACTGTCCATTTTCTGTTTTCCATCTCCAATGATTGTGGTAAGTCACCTGGAACATCTGGTTACCAACCAAACCATTTTTGGATTAATAATTTTTAAGTCCATGTTTTATATTCTCACCACAATTTACAGTGCAGAGAAAATACCTGTGAGCCGGCTTACATCTTCATGTAAGGCTTAATAAAGGAAAACAACATTATTTTATGTAGAGAACAAAGATGTACAATATTTGTAAAAAATAATGGTTGGTGCCTCCTTGGGCAATAATGACTCCAAGTAGATGTTTCCTGGAGCTGTTTATCAGTCTTTTAGCATTCAACTGGTTGTCCTTACAGAGCTACTTCATATATAAGACATTTGAAGTTTTCTTGCATGGGATAAGGATCTTCCCAAAAGACAAAATATCTTCTTCAGCCATGCTGTTGTAGGTCTCGTATGTTTGAGATCATTGTCTTTCTGCATCCCGTTCGTCCCAGATTCAACCTCCAGCTCAGTCTGTAGTTAATTGAGTGAAGGATCGCACTCCCTAATTCTTTTGGGTCAATAAATGCATCTTGTTCTCAGTTGTAACTGTACTTCCAGGTACGTTGCTAAAACCAGTAGTCTGACTTCCATTTTCTGTTTCTTGTAGATCTCCCCACTGGAGAGGAATGTCGAGGAGACCATGTGCTCTCTGAAGTTTGCACAGAGGGTTTGTAAGGTGGAGCTCGGCCCTGCATCGCGGAAAATCGAGCCCGCAGGGCACTGCGAGTTTTTCTCCTAAATTACACTGACAAACCAAAACAGTAACAGCACCTCCAAGCCAGCTTGTGAAGCTAATGGCTGGATCCACAACATCACAAGGGCTAAGATTAAAATCAAGGGCTCCAATGTGATTACCAACCTGCAATCCAACCACTAGAGGCTCAGCAGGAACATCCTTGCAGTGCTTCAGTCAGCTTTGTTTTAACTGATTTGTAAACTGGCAACTTTTCTCTGACAAACTTGACACAGTTTAAAATATACTCAGGGATTAATCTCTGGCTCAGTGGTTTAGACCAGGAGAATATTTGGGTTTAGGTGATGTGGTGTCTCTTGAGAGAGGTTCAGGAATCAGAATTACAAGCTGGCTGAAAATACTGGACCTACATAAGTGAAACTTTCAAAGCTTTTGAAACTGGCACTTATGGGAGTGCCTCAGTTCACAGAAACAGCATTCCTGATATCTGCAAGGTAATGCTTAATGTTTCTAATATCAGTTGTGTTTCTTTCAATTAAAACGTAGATGAGACTGGTGCCGGCATTGAAAAATTTGCAAGTGCATATGTAATATTAACAGAGGAATCAGAATTTCTTAGAAACTATAAACCCCGTCATTGTAGTTTTTTATCCAGTTGTGCTCAAGAAATTAATGTCTTACATTAGCCACCGATAAACATTTCTAGCACAACCATCGGGTTCTGCTGTATGACTTGAAAATTTCACGTACATTTTTTATATGTGAAAAAGGGAGATTAAACTGATTCAGGTAATCACAGAGCAACGTAGTTAGCCTAACATCTGTCACTTGTAAAAAGAGGAATACTAAAAAATCCACCCTGATTCTGGACCTCAAGGGCTAGAGCTGTGGACGCATGTTTAACTCTGAACATTCTACTGGTAGCAGCTGGTCATATTTGGCATCTTTGTTTAAATGTCAATAAAATTAAGATGTACAGTATAAAGGAGGCACAGCTCCAACAGTACATTTAAAGCATAGTCTTCATAAATGGTAAAGGAGGATTTTCAGAGCTTTTCACTCTGCACAATGCTTCCTAAGCTAATGCAAGGGTAATTCTAAATGTTTTATGGAGCAAACTTAAAAAAGTCAAGGAATGAAAAGGAGCAATATAAATATTTATATTAAATTTAGTCGGAACCTGAAACATATTTTTTGGTCAAATTTACCCCTGGGTAAAAAAAAAGGTTTTACAATTGCACTGCGAGTATAAATAAATGTTTCTCATTGTTAATAATTTATGCCATTGTTCATTATGAAGTTTTCCAATATGCTTATTTAGTAGTCGTAAGTGTTAGACTTAATTGTAACTTATGGACTTAGGTTTAGAATTGGCCACTATTTTAATATTTGCCATTATGTAAGGTGCATAGCAGAGCAATTTAAGGAATATTCCCCAGATAGCTGAGACTGTTGAGGGCTCTTGCTCTACAAGAATCTTGTTTTTGTAGTCAGTTCAGTGACTTGAACTTCTGCCTTAGCTTAGCATCTAGCTTAGTTCAGCTGAATTAGTATAAGAAGCCATTCTCAGGCTAAATTCCAACAGAGCTAGATGTTAAAGCTCAGTGAAGAGATGGGGTGGGGAGAGTAGTGCAGCTGTTTCTCAGGGCTATAGAAGAGGGCACTTTGTTTAGCATGATACCCTAAAACTAAGCCACATAAGCTGCTAGATTCTGTGGGTTTAAATTGTGTTTGTTTAGTCTCTGAAAAAGTGTCATAATACAAGAGTAATGCAGACATTAAATAAGAATGAGAGCAATAAAATGTCTGACAGATTCGAAAATCAATGGAAATTTGTTAATGTACTGCAAATGGAAATGGAGCATCAGAATGCTATACAATACACCACAGTCTGTGCATTCCACATTGCACAAGCTCTGCTCTTAATTTTTCAAACCAAATTTCATTTCACTTACAACTGTCTAAATTCGATTCTATACAATTGTCTGCTTTGACTGCTTTGCTTACTTTTTCAGGCACGATAAAATAATTATACTAATACTTATTTTTAACAGTCTGCTTTACTCCATTCTTCATTTCTCACACTTTAAAGCTCTGCATGAATCACACACCTAAAAGAAGTCTCCAAAGACAAATGCAATTGTTGGTATATTTCAATATTATGACTGTCTTTCTGTAGGTAACTCAGCTTTAGTGCATGAAAATTAGTTGACATTTCAATTATTGCTGAAAAAATTAAAAAAAATCTAGCATTTCACTAACACAATGTAGAGGTATTATTATAATTGGTTTATGAATGAGATAAATATCTCCCAGACTATCAAACTGTAGCTAGCTTTGACATTCTTAGCTTCAAGAGTCAACAAACTGAGCTAAAATACATTCTATTGAATCTTGAGGTTCCAGTAAAATTGAAGAAGTAACTCATTATTCACATCACTGAGTATGTACAAATAAATATTTAATGGTGCTTAATCTCAAAACCCATGCAAAAAATAAACTCATTAGTATGAACATTTGCATGTATTAGTAACAATCTAAGTAACTACTTAACAATATGTTACCAAATCCTTATGAATTATAAACCAATGTCTAACAATTTATTTTTTACATAAATGACTGTGATGAATGTTGATTTGGACTTTGTTATAGTGTCCTATATGAGGGCAAATTGTATCATGAAGGCAGGATACAGTGGGAAATATTGTGTAAATATGTATTGAATAAAATCATGGCAATACAATTTAATTTTGTACTCTTTCCATCCAATAATTATTTATAGTTTTGCTCAAATGCTAGATCATGTCTTTGTATACTTGTAAAACCACTTCACACAACAACTTAATTGAATCAATAAAGAAAAACTGAATTCATCCACAGAAATAGTCAGACATTTCAGTACTTTGCACACTGTAAATCTCTAAGCAAGCTCCTCAGTGTAACCACCCTAATACAATCACATTGCTGACACATGAATGTCCTGACTTGTCCTACCTAAGAATTCATGTTGCCAAAAATCAACGCTCACCTACCTAAACAAAAGTACTTTAGTTCAAAACCATATCATCACTATAGAAAAGCATTTGTACCTGGTAATTATACTGTATATGAGTCAATATAAAGTGTTAACTCTTATGCAGCTAAAAGTTACATACTGTAATGTGTGATGTAGTGCAGAAGATTTTATTTAATTAAAAAAAAACAATTTAAAAGAATAACATATTAACTTAATTGATGCTACTAATGCACATGGACCTACAGGTTTCAAGGGGTGACTTAGGCTCTGGGGGCAGTTCCAGAGGCTCAGTTTTTGTTTTGTTTTGTTCTCCACATTGTGATGTTACAGCTCTTCTTGTTTTCACTACTTTATGCACTGATGATGATACTTATTAATGCCATCACAGCGTGTATACAATTCATGATACACTGAGACGCATTTAAAGCAGAACAATGCTATTGGTTCCTATACTAATATGTTGCATTTAAAAATCCCTCTTGGTATATGATTTAAACCTATGCAAAAGATGGGGAGGAGGAAACATGCTGCAGGGGAATGAGCCTCTCCAGGGAGTAAATAAGGTGGTATGCATTGCTATATTCCAGGTCATTGCCTACCAGCTTGTGTTCCTTTACAGCAGTACAGAATTAACTGTCAGTGTGGACAAATTGTGCAGTCAAGTATGTTGCAATGTACTGTGTACCAGAAGGTGGCAGTATACGGTCACACAATGGCAGAAAAAGCAATGATGGCTGTCTGCTAGAATTTAGGTAAAATACCCACTTCAAATCCAATTTATCTTGAGTATCTCAAGTTGGCCTGCTTGCGTTGGGAAAAGTGGTTTGGACTAAAATCCTGGCAGACAGAATAACTCGGAGTCCATAGCCTCCACCCCCCCTCCAAAAAAAAAGAAATAGCAGCTGTATTCTCCTCAAGCCAAGTTTACTGCTTTTACAGCTTTCTTGTGGAAAAAACGTTTTTTTTTTCCTTTTGATAGCTTCAAAACAATATAGTATAGAGTAATACATTTTTGCTTTTCCCAGACATTTGTCAGACAACAATGGTGAAAAGCATTCACTTAGCTGAGAAATACAGCTAAGTTCTGCAAACTGTCAAAGAAGTATAGTATTCGTATTCTCAAACCTGTGATTTTTTGCTGATGCTTATAAGGTCCATTTTGGGTTAACTGGAAAGCGTAGTTAATCTTTGTTTGTTATAAACAGCTATGAGACCACTAAATGCATCCTTTGTTGAATTTAAGCATTTTTTTATGTTTATGGGTCAAAATATACAGTAGGTACAACATTTTATGTGAAGTACCATAAAGTAACTGCACTGTGAATTATGGTAATATTTTGAAGACAATTCACCGTTTTCTAGGATTTATGCTCTATTTAAAATTATGTTCAATTTCAAAACAAAACTGCAAAATTTGCATTGCTGTATTAACAAGTATCCTTGAAGTATCCATATCAGTGAGCTATCTTTACTGAAAGGCATTGCAAACTAACAAATACTATTGGTTCCAACACTCATTTGCCTCCGCTTATATTTTTGCGAGTTGCATGTTTATATATGTATTAGCTTTTTTTTAGCTAACTCTTTTATTTAGAGATAATTTTGAACAGGATGGAGACAGGAAAGTCAAAGCAGTTAAGAATACCTCTACCATACTGTACTTCACAATTTGCTCAGAAGTACAAAGATGAGTCAGGAAAGTTTTATGGACTCATGAGAGCAAGATAAATTTTACCAAAGGGACAAAAACTGTGGAGAAAGAAGGGAACTGTAGATCTTCCAAAGAACTCCTCATCTGTCCTGGTCTGGTCATGCATGGCCACCTCTGGAACTGGCTCACCCGTCTTTATTAATGATGTAACTACTGCTGGCAGTATAGGATTGAGTTCTGAAATCTACAGAAACACTTTGCCAGCTTATGTGGAAGAAAATGCTTCTATACGGGTTGAATGGCTTTTCACCATGGAACATGCCCTAAAACATAAGGCCATTGCAACCAAAGGAGAAAAAAAACTGGAAAAACGCAGACTGGCAAAAGTCAATTTAAATCCTATTGAGCATGCATTTTACATGCTGAAGAAGAAACTGGCAAGAACTCAAAGTGGATGCAAATCTCAAATGATTACAGAGACTGGTGAGCTCAATGGGTCACAGACCTTATGCACTTACTGCCTCTAAAGTACAGTGCATCCAAACAGATACGTTTACACTCTAAAATTTAAAGGGGAACTGCAGACCCATTTTCTCAGACTGGTTATTAAATCTTGGTAACAAAATAAACTAATTGGCAGTGTAAAAAAAATTGTACAGATTTCAAATTAAGCACAAAATCGTGAACTACAGTAAATAGCAAACCCCTGGTCTCGCCATGGGTGAAAGCAAGAGTTCCCACGAATTGTGATGTGATGCGGCCCTTCCTGCTCACTAGTTTCTGTAATGACTAACGAAATGTGATATATGGGCAAATAATTACAGGTTGTGGAGCAGACATCTCAAGTCAGAAATGTTCCAATGTAATTTGGTTTTTATGCTTTATTTAAAACCCGTCTCGAAGGCGAGAGCAATATTTCTATTGGAATTAAAAGAGAATTCACAAGCCTGCTTCTTAACAATGTAACAGGGCCAATCACATCTCCAGGTGTTCTGTTGCCTAATTCTGAATTGCAGATGATGGCTCTGCACATACCTGGAAATTTCATCTATAGTGATCACACCTTAGTGATGCAAACTGGAGATTTACATGTGTGTACGTTTTACTTTCATTGTGGTTTGAAATGCACTCATCGGTGCTGATTCTTTCTAATCCCGAAATGTAAAAATAGCATTGCAGTTCCCCTTTAAAGCGAACGTGTCCCAGTACTTATGATCACTTGAAATCACTGGATTGCACACGTTTATGTTTGTGCTCTAGAACGATCACATGTACGCATGGAGTTACAAAAATGGTAAAAACAGAAATGGTATTTATTATCGCATACAAATACGTTTGGTGGCCACTGTACATGTGTGTAGAGATGATCATTTAAACGTTGCTAGTCCTAAAAAAACTAATGTGGGACAAGAAATATCAGAGACGTGCACCTACTTAGAACAAATAAGTAATGAATATGAATTTGATTTAAAACGTATGGTACAAAGTCAAGTATCACAATGAACTACAGTATAAACAGTATGCCCTATAAACCTTTCAGTTCATTGAATTTTTAATGTAAACCATGTTATTGCTTCAAGGAAAACTTGGACTGCAGATCTGTTGTGTAACTGGACACCTCTGCTGAACAAATTCCCAGTTTTGAAAGCTCAACTCCCCCAGCCCTGTCTCAATTCAGAAAGTCTGGATTCTTTCCTCATAGTGCGTTTTCCATGCTCTTTGTTTAAAAGTTTTGAGTCTCCTGATTTCCCGTGGTTTCTGAAAAGATATAAGCAAGGCTGCAGCAGGATGCCTCTTACAGTGCACATCTGGTGCTTTACGAGGGCGATAGAGAACTCACCTCCTGCCCTTCTAGATGCAATTTTTTTTATATTTACGAATGACACTAAATATTTTGGATACCATCAGTCTGTATTTGCTTGTCTTGGATCACTATTGGTAGTTAGGATGAGTGCTGTACATATGAAAAGCTGTGAGTTAAGGAAAAAAACATGATTGAAGAAATAATTTTGGTTCATTTTCATAACTGGTAAAGAACGCTAATGCCCAAATCTAGGAAACAATGACTCTGTCTCCCTACAGGATACACATAAGCATCTGTACTATGAACTGCTGCTTAGTTCCATAATAGCACAGCTGTTCTTTAGTGGAACAGGCAGAGTTTTGAAACAAAACAATTTAAAAATATAGAATTACATTACATATATACAGTACAAACACTTAGTCCATACTTCATTCCAGACATCGAGTCTATGACCCTGAAATTTCATAATAAAAGTAAGGTCTGATTTCATCCAGTAATGACAACAAGACCAGATGTGTATACTGTAATTAATTATGGAAAAGTACTGGAACAGTAAAAGTTATGCCATACACAATACAGGATCCTCTTCACTGACCAAAAACAATTCTTGTTGAATATAAAGACTAAGAACACATTATGACACTTTAAAACACTGGACCCTATTTTCAAAATACTGTAAATTTCCATTACTTCCTATGGTGATTCAAGCAGTTAGGTGTTTTGAACATAGGGCCTAGTATTTTTAACATACTGAGAAATAATTAGAAAAACAATGACCTTTCCATGTAAGTAAAAGAGGTACTACAGTATATAGTATCAAGTATTCCATTACAATCTTATTGTATTTATTCATGAATCATAAACATAGTTTAATGCCACTTATCAAATATAGGATTCTCAATACTCAAATCAAATATAACAATTTCTAAATAATAACCACAGCAATGCTTGGCAGGCATTGTTATATAATTATAACTGTTTATGTGATAATGAAATGAAAGCATACACAACACTAAAGTACTCAGGTATGTACTGTGGTGCCAACATTTGTAAAATCAAAGTTGTTTGTTCCATTCCTGCCCTGTCAAATTACAGCCTTTTTATAATCAAAACAAAAAATGTTTCTTCTCATGATCACACATTATTTGTAATTAGTGTGTAATTTCTACAGCTGATTGAAACAAATGGTGTATGTCAGGCTTTTAAAATGGCTTTAAAAAGAAAATTTGGAATTTGTTATTTGTTATTAGTTAAAATGGCAGTTCTCTCTCTGCATCCCTCCCAGTTAAGGATGATTGTTTTCCTTGATGGCCTTATCTATGGGTCAAATAGCTGATGATGTCAGTTTCTATTTTTGAGAATAATTCTTCCATTCCAGCCTTTTGTAGCTCACATTGTCATTGCTTGGTTTTGAAGCATCATTCTTGTCCAAACATCTCCCTTACGTTGGCCTCAAAGTCATCGTCTTCTGCACTTTTTACCTTGTATGCATACTTTGAGTGAGCGGTGAGAAAAAGACTTGCTTTAGGAGTCTAGAGTTGGACTTTGGGACATCATAGCAGTTCTAAAGACATTGATATTGGAAAATCATAATTCCAGTGCTCATCGCATTGACTTAATTGACCTCACTGTTCACCAGCATCAAATTGTTTTTGTCTCCCATGAATGGCCTGTTTTCAATATAGGAAACAATTAGGTCAGTTCTTTATTTCCAGAGACACCAATTTAAACATAACTACATTCAAAATATTTTTACAAGATGGTAAACTTTGGTTGCAGGATATTTGAAGCTTCCCTCCAGTGGAAGCCAAAGATTCTTGTCCAATCCAATCTCTCTGGCATGAACTACCTTGGGGTTGATCTGAATCTTCAAATACATTCCACTGCTGTAGTAGAATACAAACTACTTAAGGACTAAATGAGTAATACGGCTACATAGATGAAGATTAAACTCTCCCATAAAACAGCTCTTTATGGCACAACCAATGGCCTATCTACAGTACACAGTCTAATAAAGAATGTGTCATTTCCCATTTTCATACCTCTCTGATTGAGTATTTGATCTCCCTGAGGGAGAAGAGCCCCACTCTTCTCCCTCATGCATCTATTACATCTCTTCAAATTTTCGAAAACTAGGCCACCATGCCTGATCGCCTCACAAGTAATTTGTCAACACATTGCTGCCTTTCAGTTTTCCTTCAGCTGTTGTTGCTGCTGGTGTCGTGTGGGTAGCTGGGTGTGACATCTCTTTCTTGTGTTCTGGCTATCGAACAGTCTTTCCGTGTCAAGAGTGAATTGCTCATGCTACAATTCTGCACAGCTGGTTTTTGTATTTTTTTAAACAGTTTTAGAAAAGCTTAAAAGGAAAAAAACCCAACAAATTTAACCCCGTGGCTTCTGAAAGATGTCATGTCAATGTAAGAAATACCGTATACTAGAGTGTGCTCAGTCATGCCTTTATAATAAAATCTAAACCAAATAATAAATGCAAATTAATTGTTGAGGAAAGACAAACCGTATTTGCCTAGCAATAAGAGTTAAAATGGGACACTTGAAACAAAGCGTGACATATTCATTCCATGGTATATTATTGCACTACAGTAAATAAAAAAAATACTTGTAGGTTCGTCTTTTTGGTTTATTAAACAGAGGTATTAATTAAAGCAACTGAAACTGACGAGAAGCTAAAAAACAGCACTACCTGTACAGTTAGAGAAAGCATGCAATCACAAAGCATGCAAGCTGAAACTCAAAATGCCCACCTCAAAAAATATTACTTTTCAGTGTTGGAATTAAAGACTCTTAAAAACGGGAGTTAATTGCAATAAGAACCAGGGAATAGTTATCAGTTGCTGCTCTTTCATAAACCTGTCACACATCTTAAAAGCAGAAGAGTGAGGACTGAGGCCTTGACCATTCAAATTCATTTTGAAAACAGAGAAATACTGTAGCAGCAGTAAATGACGATTGACACCAACTTAGATCACTTACATACACAAATAGGATAAAAATCCAGGTGCATCATCCAGGTGGGTGCAACGCATTGGTGGTGGTGGAGGGGAATCCCCATAATGTGCACATATTGTGTTATAAATGTACATATGCCCATTTCAAACGTAAGAAAAGGGAAACTCAATTGTCATTAAAATAGCCGATTTACATAATAACATAGTAGTAACTGGTCCATCTTCTGAATTCTTTTCGTTATTGGCAAGGCATGCTCATAGACAGTACCACAATCTTCTGAACGGGACTTTATAATTTTGTGGCTTTTTTTCCAAATTATATATTGTAAAAATGTAAATTAAGTTTTCAAAATTAACAAGGTCTACAATAAGAATCTCCCTCTATCTCCCACTGGTTTGTTAACCTGACAATATTCCTGAAGTAACATATTGGGGGGAGGTTTTCAATTCCTATTACACATTTCTTGGCCTCAATGTCGGTGAAAAGAAAGACTTGTCTTAAAATAATACTCTGCTAAGTGAATTAAACTCCTAAACCTTGAATAACATCATAAAAAGGAAACAGACCAGAGTAACATATTTGCAAAAACGAATGTTAAAATGAGGTTGAAAACTCAATTTACATTTGAGGTTGAAAGCTACACTTGCAAAAAAACCAACGTAACACTGTTGTTTGTGATGAAGGAATTCGATGATGACTTGCCAAAAAAGTTATTCTGCTATGAAATTTTAAGAGGTAAACCATAGACCTACCAGAAGTATTGCTTTCTCATTAGAGATGACAGTATACACATGAAAATACAGTTCTGTATCTATGTATTTCCAAAAGCAATTACTTTATTTTTAAATGTGGTACAACTAATCGATCAGTTTCACCATCGCTTTATATTAAAATAACACTTCCTTAAAGAATTGAAAAACAGCCAACATTAAACAATAAAGCCTTTTAAACTCATGTTATATGTTTATTTGAAACAACACAGGTGTAGTTGGCTACTTTCAGTTCTGATAGTTTGCATTTATTTCCAGGTGGAGGAAAAGTAATTTGTAGGTATCAAAATATTAAGAAAATAATTTTAGTACAAAAATCATAGTATAACAGCAAAATGGTCTACTGCTAACCAGCAGCAAAGTTTTATCCTATATTTTTTAGCAAACATTATGAAAGTAAAACACTTTTTCTAGAAAATAACAAGAAAACAATTACCTTATAGAATGGTTTGGTATGAAAATCACAATTCTTTTACTTAATTTAGTCAAAATTGATCCTTATAATGGTATCAATGTATATAAAGTCAACATGGAAGGTGTTAATTTTTTTATCAATATAAATATCTCAAACATGGCAAAGCTATTGTAATGTTGGTGTAGAGGCTGTACTCAAACTGTAATTTACTAAAAAATCTACAGACCTTCATAAACACACATTCTCATTAGGAACCATTAATATTTTAGATTTGACTAAGTATAAATGAAATTATTATTCTCAGCACATTTCTATGAAAATACTGTTGGTCTTTACATAGTAAAGGGTTATTACTGTATGTAAAGGAGAAAACACTGAGGCAATCATTTCAAACAGAAATAACTAAATTATCTGGAAACAGTGGCATCGCACTGTACTTTTTACTTTTTAGGTTTGCCCACCTAACCTCAGCAATTACATCCACATTGCTTTATTGTTTGTTTGGTCATAGTGAGCTATAGCATTTACTAACCAATAGAAACAATGTACTAGAACAGATTCCAAGGTTAAACAGCCACATTCGCAAAACGTATTTCTTCATCTCTGCCTCTTTCTTTTAACGTGTGTGTTTGCGTGGCATTTCTGTAGCTCTTTAATAAAATCCTCAGGGATATTCAAAACATCACCCATACTGCTATTCTCTTGAGTGTACAAAGGGCTTGTGATTCCTTCAGAGTAAATCCCACTCAGTGGCTTCATTTGAATTTGAGGAAATTCCTATGCGAAGTTGTTTTAATCTCCTTCACTTGCTCTATCATCAAAATAAACTAAACATAAAAAAACCACAAAGACTACAATGATTTTGGTTAAACAAATACTGAACCTTTTTCTTTCCAGTATTATTGCAAAGCATCAGGGATTCCCATATTGAGAATCTGTTTAGTTTCTCAAGAGTACTAGAAAGAATTCATTTGGTACCAAAGCCTTACCCCAACATCACATTGACAGAATGCTGACTTCAGACCACACATGCAGTTGTATTCCAAAACGGTTTGTGGTATCTAAATAGGGCAGCTAAATTTCAGTTTGTAGTGCTTAACAGCCACAATTTACACGAGCTGGTTGTTAACTTCCAACTTCAGTGGTATATTTTACTTTCTCTGTGTTCTCCAAAACCATTTGCCATATTATAAGATCAGCTCAGGACATGCCCAACCCAGGAAGAGAAATCCCAATATATACGGAAAATAACACTCTACAAAAATCTAACACCACATTTAACTTTAAAATGATGGTCCTGTATGCATATATTTGGAATTCTGAGAATATTTTTAACTCCTGAACAAACAAAGGTACTGTGATATACAGGTGTATCACACATGCACATATATCACAGTTTACAGATGAATTCCATACAGCCAGCAGTGTGGAGCAGTGGTTAGGGTCCTGGCCTTGTTACTGAGAGGTTGAGAGTTCAAACTGTTATATCACCAGCCTCTCTGCTTCAATAGTGGATCAACTCCCCCTTTCAAGCACATGAAATATAAAGGATTGTATTGTGTGCACTTTTCTTTACAATGTCTTAATGATTAGTGTAATGAGGAACACAAATGACACACTTATTTATAACATGAAAAACAGCACGTTACAACGAGCTTCCTGAATGACTGTTCCTTTCCCTTGATTTATACTATTTTAAAGATATGTTGGGTTGACTAATAAAATGATTGGACAAATGAATGTAAAGCATTATTGACAAAGACAGCCTTTTCATTTTGGATGAAAAAATATATATTTTGTTAATTTAAAATGCTGAATTTGCCTTTAAACATACTGGTGTTTTTAATAGACCACTGACACTTTGTTGAATTTAATTCCAATTTCAGTCCAAAACCGAGCCTTTTTGCAGACTTACTTCTGTCTTCTGTTGTAAACTCAGCACACACTTCCCATCTTAAAAAAAAACACAGCTTACTCTTTGCACATAAGCAAATGTTAAAAAATTTTGTATTGTGTACGTACTGTAAGAACTTGGATAAATGTAGCATTAGTACAAACATCTTACGAACTACGTTCTCATAGCATAACTGATTCTCTAACACAGATAAGATAGAATTGATCTCTTTTAATGCTTCCAAAGTTTTCTTTTCCTACTTCTGGAAGAAAGTGTCCAGTTTTTAATCCCTTCCAACAGATAACCCCATTAATATGTATATTTACCAGAACAAGCTGATATGGGATAGTACTCAGAACAGATGACTAGCAGTAAAGGTAGACAGGTTAGCTCAGCAGCTATGTCGTGAAGTAGACGCTGTGTTCATATCTTACACTTCAGGTTCTTTTAGGTCTCACATGGTGTTTATCCTTTAAAACGTAATGCATTACATATGCAAAGCACCGGCTTTTTCACATCTGGAAACTCTTGAGTACTTTTGTTCAGCTCTTCCTGGTCGTTCGCTGCCGTTTTATTCAACAGAATGCCGTTTTAATCCCTCTCCCCTCCCCTTGTGCCCGAAGGCAGATGAATTTCGTGGCATTAATCAGAGAACCTTTGCTGAATGACTTCATCTCTCCTGACGCCGTTATCCAGAAAACGGTCACAGGGGAACTCGATGAGATCTGCCTCATCAATGGCGCACATAACATTCCGGGGGCGGCTAGCCTGGTACCCCGTGAAATCAGATGACACCCCTGTGCCCATGGAGCGCAGCGGACGCCTCGTTGAATACATTTGTCTCACGTGCACGGCCGACTTTCTCCTGTTGAGCCTTTTCCTCAGAAACTTTGAGAACCACACGGAGAGAACCAAAAAGACGAGCAGGGCGTTGACGCCCAGCATGATGACAGTGAGCAGCTGGAAGTCCACGGCCGTCAGCTTCTCTGGGAGGGTCACCACTCCTGTGCAGTGGTCCCTGGAAGCCACCTGGCAGACCAGGTCAGCAATTACACTCTCGATGCAGACCATGTAGGTGGTGTCCTCCTTCAGTTCCTGCAGAGTTACCGAGTTGGACTGGTCCCGCACATAAATAAAACGATGGAACCTCACTGGCTGGCCAAACCTATCAAACAGGACTCTGAAATGAACCGGCGAATTCTTGGGGCCCCGGTGCTCCAACACCTTCCAGCGAACACTGGCGGTAGTGGACGACACTTGCTCTGCTGTTATGTTAAGGATGAAGAACCTGTTAAACTCGCAGGGGTCCGTTACAAGTGGAAAAGCCCCATTTTCTTGCTGAAATAAATTCAGTTTCTCAACTTTGCCTTCGTAAGGCTGTGGCGTTGTCAGGGAAAGTGGATCGAGGCTGCCCCCTTCAGCCAGTACAGTAAAATTTCTGTTAGCTGGGGTCCCTAAGGACTTGTTTTGTTCCAGTTTTCCTGCAACTTCAGACCCATTTCTTCTTGCACTTGCTGGGGGTCGTGTCCTGTGGGCACTGGCCTCCTTCTTTCGTTTGTTTTTTTCGGAAAGCAGTTTTTCTGGAGATCCCGGCCCTCCTTGGTCTGCCTGAATGTTCGCTTCTCCCCTGGGCAGAGATCCCTCCTCCCCCGGAGCACCTGGAGTGCGGTCTTCTAATGAATCGGCCGCAGAAAACAAACAAACCTTGGAATCATTTCCCGAGGACAGTAACTGGGAACTGTTCAGATAGTCCAAGTACTTTCCTTTCAAAAGGAGAGGGTGACGGCACTGGACAAACACAGTCAGTAGTTTGCCTTGTGAATGGGCTGAATTCATCCAGCGTTTAAATCCTCCAAGTCTACAGTCACACGTCCAGTTATTTTCATTTAAGTCAAGACTATAAAGACCATTGTTGAAAGCAAAAATATTTCCAGAAAGGGCCGTTAGCCTATTATTTTTCAACTTTAACACTTTTAAATGTTTTGATTCTCTGAATGCTAAGGAGTTGACTTCAGAGATTAAATTATGACTGAAGTCTAATTCCTCTATTTTTTCCAAGGGATCAAGCAACCCCAGTGGTATGTCTGTGAGCAGGTTCCCATCTATCAAAAGCTCCCTGACGGCTGACAGTCCTCTTAGAGCTTGTGTGGCCAAGTGAGAAATTTTGTTATTGCTCAAAGAAAGTTTGGACAATTTTTTCAGATTCTGAAATACTCCGTCCCCGACGTGTTGGATATCATTTTCGGAAAGTAACAGCGTTGTAAGGGATGAGAGATGGGCAAATGTGAGGACGCTGCGTAGCGCTGTTTGCTTGTTACCAGAAAGATTAAGAAAACGAAGTTTCCCGAGCTTTGTAAATGCGTTCCTGTGGATGTAGCGTATTTTATTAGATTCCAGATGAAGATAAAGCAAATTTGTCAAGCTTTTAAAAAGTGCATCCTGTAAAACTTCTATCGAGTTGCCGTCTACTCTCAGCTTTATAAGATTGTCTAAATTTGCGAAGTAGTCAGGAGTCAGCTTTCTTATTTCATTGTTGTTGGCATATAGAATTCTTAATTTTTTCAGAGAGTTCAATGTACCGGGAGAAACGCTTAGTATTAAATTGTTACCCAGATAAAGTTCCTCCAGCCTCGACAGCTTCTCAAACGCTTTCGGGTGGATTGACTGGAGTTGATTGTACTGCAAGTCAAGTCTTATCATTTGGCTAAAGCGGACGAAATCGAAAGCAGAAATGTTGTTAATGAAATTACCTCCAAGGCTGAAGATGAGGATTTCTTCGGGATTCTGGATAGCTGCTTTGGGGACTGACCGCAGCCCCCTGTTCGTGCACAAAAGGTGTTGAGAATTCTGACAGTCGCACCGATCGGGACAAATAGCATTTGCAGAATAAATGAAGGGGAGAAGTATTATCAAGTAGATAGCACACAGGTTTGCCATTCCCAGACGTAGGTGAAACCGACGTTTTCGGCATTCCTTTGTGTTCTTCACAGTTCTTTTATATTCCCCTTTCAAAGCCTGGACATAGTCTTCCACCAGCCACCCAGTAACCAAACATTAGCAGTGCAAATGCAAGCATCAGTCCGAGCAGAGAGGAGCGTGATCACAAAGTGATGTAAAACATGCAAAAAATAAACTTCGCACCGCACTCCAGCAACTAGTGCAAGGAAATGTCCTCTTCCTACACTCGAAACCCCCCAAGTGGCAGGCTAGTGCAAATCACAGATCTGCAAAATCTTCTCATTTTACCAGCTGAAAATACCATCCCCCACCCTCCAGCCTTGAGATGCGTTTTTCCCGTATTAACCGTACACTTTTCTTAAAAGTAGAAATCACACAAAATGTAACTGCTGTCGGCCAAACAACGGTGGCTGTGTGTAGGACAAGAATTTTACTTTTCTACTGTTGCACGGGGTCCCCCTTGTTTAGTGGACAGGGAGACTTGGAAATGACCGACAAAACGGACGGAAAAGCTTCCCACACACTGCTCCAGAGAGAGACGAGTTCCGTCTTGGATTGATTGTGATTTCTGGGAGGTGGGGGGTGGGAGAACATGCGGACGAAAACATTAAAAGTGGGAGGCAGGCACTGTAAAAATGTAAAAATACCGTTTCATTTTCATCCGACAGCTGTCTAAAGAGGGGGAAACTCCCCCCCAAGGAAAAAAAAGTTACTTTTTGCTGAGTGAAGTGCACATGCACAAAAAGATACATCAGAATTTAGCGTGTGCCTTATAACCTATAAACGCTAAATGCAGAATTCAAATAATTATTTCAAGAAAACCTCAGGGATTCCCCACATTTTTTCAATTCATACACGTAAAATTCCAAACCGCCAAATGGTAATTTGACTAATTCGACATAGGCCTACTTTCAAGACTTCCTTAACGGTTTACAAAATCTTTGCAAGTGTTAGTGCAGGTTCTCTTTTAGAAACTGGGAGACGATTTCGAACAGAAAAAATATACATATACTGTGTACTGTACATATAGAATCAATAATTCAAATAGCCTCAATCGTACTGCCACCCTTACAAGAAAAAAACCAACTCCTGATAATGGAACTGATTAGCGTGCTTTCTGCATCAGAAAAAGAGAAACGTAATAATTACCAACTCCTTAAGCATAATTGCATCTCTGACATAAAAATTTGGATGACTCAAAACTTCCTTCATCTTAACTGTGACAAGACTGAAGTCATGCTTATTGGTACCCCCCATCAACTTCGTAAAGACACTCCTGTAACCCTGTCTGTAGATGGCTCTGTACTTGAGCTTCAATCAAAATTGAAAAACCTTGGGGTTTTATTCGATTCTGGCTTAACATTCGATCCACATGTACAGCATACTGTCAAAACATCTTTTTTTCCACCTTAGAAATATCGCAAGACTACGTCCTAAGCTATCATTAACTGTGGCTGAAAAGCTGATCAACATATTTGTATTCTCTCGAATTGACTACTGCAATGCTCTACTCCCTGGGGGTATCTAAATCTACTCTGAACAAGCTGCAGTATGTCCAAAATTCAGCAGCCAGAATCCTGACCAGGTCTAGTGCAAGTGTTCACATTACTCCTATCCTGGAGTCCTTGCACTGGCTTCCGGTCAAATTCCGCGTAGATTTTAAAATCCTCATGCTCACCTATAAGGCTTTACATGGCTTGGCACCTCAATACCTGTCTGAACTTTTATCGCCCTACTACCCACCTCGCAACCTCCGCTCTTCAAATTCTGCCCTCCTTACTGTCCCCCAAGCCCGTCTACATTGTATGGGCGACAGGGCCTTCTCCTGCTATGCCCCCAAGCTCTGGAACTCTTCACCCAAGGATATTAGAGAGTCACCTTCTCTAAACTCCTTCAAATCTAGACTCAAAACCTTCTTCTTCAGAAAAGCCTTTACTTAACTGGTTCCATTCTTCACCCCTCTGCTCTTCTTAATACCACCTTCCACGGTCTCCTCTATTGTTAATTTTGTATTGTTGTAATTATAATTGTGTCCTATCTTGTGAAATCTTATTTATTGTTATTGTTATCCTGTAAAGCACTTTGAGAAGCCACCTTTAAAGGCGCTATATAAAATAAACTTTATTATTATTATAATCCACATCATTATTTATGAGGAGGTAAGAAAAAAAAAGTCTTCAAAAACACTTCTCCATCTTTTAGATTGTGGTAGGTGCACATAATAGCTAAAGCTGAGGAGTAAATTGCATGTTTCCCATTGAATATAACTATGAAGAAGTCATCTGAAGAGTTTACATAAAATGAACAATGCTCTCAACATATTTAAGAACTTTTGTGGTAACAAAATATTCTTTATCACACATAGCCTTGGTCTAGAATGTGTCCCTCAATTTATTTGAAATGCACAAATCCAATTTATATAATACAAAAAAAACCATGATGTTTATCACAGAACGTTTGATTATATGAAAGGCATCAGTAATATTCAAAACCCGAAGCACATGAACAGAGGTTAACGGAAGAAAAATGTTTTCTTCGATATCAAATATGAGCGTTAAAGGTACGATTTTAAGAGAGGCAGCCTAAAATTACACCGAAGTACGGCTCTAAAAAAAAAAACAAAAAACAGACGGGTAGTACAGTACAGTTTGAGCTTTCAAACTGTTGAAATTGAGAGGATTATGTCAATCTTAGTTACTCCCTTCCTGTAAATGATTCCTAAAATTGGTACCTCTGGAAGACTAAAACTTAAAAGTATATAGTGCTTGAGAGTGAAAAGTGGATGTTAGCCATGCTCAACTCCCCCCCCCAAAAAAAACTGTTAATATTTTTAATTGACCAATGAATGACAAGTCTATCCATCCATTTTCTAACTACTTTAACCAATACAGGCAACAGCACACCCGTGATCTCATCCCAGTAAGCAATGGGTGAAAGGTGGGGATACACCCTGGACAGGACACCAGTCCATCACAGGGTACACACACCACAGCCAGCTTATTTAGCACTATGTCTTTGGGCTGCGAGATTTTCATTTTAGAAAATCTCTAGAACTAAGAATCCTTATTTTCTCAGGGTCCAGCAAATGGACCACCATTTTAGCCTTCTGATCTCATGTTCATGATAATGGAGTTTTCTATTGTAAATCTTTGTGCTGTTACCAAGTCTTCCTGGTGGCATTGACAATTAAATACTTAAATGGTTTGTCTTTCCTTATTCCCTGAATTTATAACCTAAATTTTGAATAAAATATTCAGCAAGCTCTTCTTACTTTCATAGGTTTTTTGTAAACCCCAAGTTAGTAAAAGGCAAACTTACAGTTCCCCTCTAAACACGTAAGAAAAAGTATCATGTTCAAAGTTTCGGTAGCTAAATGACTACAAAATACAACTTTTTGCAAACTTTATTGAAGCAAATTATGTTACTGTAGTAAATTGTTACAATGTACCCATAGGATAGAGTATACAGTATGAAAACATTTACATTCAATTCTAAATTAGTACAGACAATCAATTATCAACAATTGGTGATCACATAATCCTGAGGAATCAAAACAGAACATTACTTCCACCCCCCTCACCCCCCAATGTGTAAAAAGGAAATGGGTTACCACCCTTTCATTGAAAGAAATCTGTCAATCATATCAAAAGATCTTTCTGGCTGATCGTAAGGTAAAATGTGTCCCCCACCACGGACAATCACCTAAAAAGAAAGCAAAGAATGAATTTAATTCAAATAGGCCATTTTCAATTAACTACATAGTAGAGAGTCACTTTATGGCTTACCATTTTTATGTACTGCATTTCTTTGCAAAACGGAAATAACTCGGAACTGAAATTTTATCCAAAATTGCTCCCGAGATCACAGTAGGGCTGACAGCTTGGCTTTGAAGTAAATTTCTGCTTAAAAGTCCAGTATTTGGAACAAATCAGAATTAAAAGGCATTACAACGTTCTTCAAAGTTTAGTACAATGACGGAATTATTCATTTGAAAAGACTATACGATTAAACTAGAGGCTGAAAGACCTAAAATGAACTAGTTCAAATAGGTAGCTGCGTCAGCATGCGTAATCTGCAAAGGTTTATTCCGTGCTGAAAAGAGAAGGCTCCACAGCCTAAATGTTGCATTTCTTTTCTTCTCTTTTCAGCATGGAATAAACCTTTTTGTTCCTAAAATGAACTAGGCAGTCTGAAAAACCTCCCAGTGGCATGTTTTTAAATGCCACTGTCCTGGTTTTCCTCTTCCTTAAAGGGTTGAGTCCCTTTACCGCAGATATGTGGTACTGAAATTATGCACTTCAAATTGAAAGTCAAAAAACAAAAGAGAAAATACATTTAATTTTGTGCCACACTAATTAGTACATTTTGGAAAGCAATACATCTAAGATTCACCATCCTTTAGGCTAATATCAGCCATCAGTCAAGCTTTGTGCCCTGAAACAATGAATTTTATACAAATCTTAGTCAACAGGATAAATCAAGAGCAACTACTGACCTTGTCCTCATCATTTCAATTAACCAATGCTTAGATCACACAGTGATTACTACCTGCCTTCATATCCGACTGAGTTGCAATATTAATTCTTGTCTGCCTGACATTTGCTCTTGTCCTTGTTTTTTTGTCCATTTTCTGTGTAACATTTGAATCTTCTCCAAGACGTTGTTAGCTCATTTCTGTTCAGGGTCTCGTTTTCAACTTCTCATCTTAATCTTTTTAGATTTTCCCCCTCCATTATTTACAATAAGACATGACAAAGGACAGTAAATATAAACCAAACTAAGCAAGATACAGGATGCAAGAATTAAAAACAAGCCGTCCACACCTCACAATTAAGGTGGCAGAACTAGTGTGTCACCTAAACATACATAACCCTCCCTTCCAAAGTAGGGGTTACTGTGATGTGTCATACCATGGTCTTCTAACAGGGTGTGGATCCATAACTGGCTAGAAATGTACTTCGCTGACCAGCACATTTTTGTCACAGTACAAAAAGCAACAGTGGAAATTACCCAAAACGTTATTCACCAATGGGTTGTTAAAATGAAAAGCCCACCTATTTATTACACTTCTGACTTTTGGATGAATATTTGGTGTCCACCTCTAAACACATTACTAGTTAAAATTCCACCGCACCTTGGGTCACAGGTTTATCTAGACTATCAAATAACACTCAAATTACTGCTTAAAATAGCACAGTTGAGGTCCTAACCACTGATTCTAATGGCTATGCACAGGCTTTTAAAAGTTTTAAACAGTGTATTAAAATTGTAGGGGTAGATTTTACAAGCCCAATTTTATTTAAGATTATTGCAGTAAAACATCTGTGAAGACTTGCTTTCTGAGCCATTGTGAGCACCCTGAAATAAAGCACACAGTCATGAGGATGTCTGCTTTCATAGGGTTGTTACAGTATCTGCATTTCAAACTCTACACACCTCATTTTTACTGGGGTTCATACTACATACCTTGTCATATTGCTGCACCCCCTGTCCTCCATTTATATGCTAGGCTGTTTATCTAAACTTCCTTTCCGTTTCTGCTAGGACACTACCAAAATAATTTACACGTACCCTATACAAGCACTGCTTTAATGGAATGGAATTTTCTCCTTACCATTTACAGACTATAGTTATATCTTTCCGAAGCCTTGGACAGATAGCTACTATTTCCCCTCAATTCTGTCTGATTCCACGCCAACTTACTTTTAGTTATAAATAGGACCACATAAAACACTTTGCTCCATGATTAGACCCTTATAGGCTTTTTTCTGCCTAATCCTTCGATATATTTTTAGCACTCATTTGATTCACATGGAATCGAAATGTAAACAGCCTATTTTGTGACTACAAATCCATTCTCTTTTATTCTGTGCAGCTTGAAGCATGATTTTAAGAGCAGGGAAAAGGTTACCAACTCATCTTTTGAGCTCGAGTGCGGACATACCCCTCCTGCTCCTACTTATGTTATTCCCATTTTTTTAAATATCTATATTACATGCCAAAGAATGACTCAAATGTTCTACATGTAACTATAAAATGATGAAAGTGGGTTGTGAATCAAAATTCACATTCACAATTTGCTCCGTCGCCGTTTCCTTTTTCTTGTCCTCTCTGGTACAGCGTGTTGTAACCCAGTTTAAAATGGAATTACAAAGAAACTATTCAGGATTTTTTTTGACAGTGCTTCCTGTCACCATCTGCCCAATTTGGGAATACTTAAGTATCTAATGTTCCCACATTACTTTCTCCTTCATGCTGTGCTTCCTCTTCAAACACCAGCCAAACCACCAAGGTTGACGAGATGTTACTTATTAGATTATGCGGAATGTGTTGCAACGTATCCTTTGTTGCCAAAATAATTGGCAAATGTTAAAAGTTGTCTAGATTAAAAGCTTTTGAGGCAATAAAATATAAGGCCACAAAAACTTGTGGGAACTTTTGTCACTGGCAAACAAAACTAGCAAGAAAAACAATACTCTGCTCTGGAGGCTGTCAAAATGAGTTGAGCCATGTTTCTTTCCAACTTTAAATTACATTAGAGTGCAGACAACAGTGTAATCAGAACACAAGCAAAGTCTTTCTGTAGTGCCGTAACAAAGCACGCTAGCTGGATCTCTGTCACAGGCATCACCATTTTGATCCTGCCCACGCAATAGTAGTGACAATGGTCCGATTGCTACAGCAGGATTGAGGGCTATTTCTCTCCAATTTTTTTTATGGAACTGTGCCATTTTAAGATAACATTTCTATTTATACAGGGGATAACGAAAGATTGCCTTGAGTGAGAAGAATTCAGTTGGCAAGGATAATGATGTGCACGTGTTATGTATTGCAACTCCAAGTAAAATACCTTTGCGTGACACCCCGTAAATGTCAGAGCGATCATTAGGTTTAAAGAGTCACGACTTAGTCCGAGAAGGGTTGAAAAACTCTAGACTTACAACAGAACTGCAATCAAATGAAACTGCACTTTGTCACTGAAGCACTATAATTGGAGACAAAGGTCAGTTGTCTGGTTTCAGAAACAGAGATGTACTGGAGAACGAGAATATCTGTTGAATTGTGCTGTAATGCATACACACAGCTATTACCAAAACTAAAATGAAGAAATGAAAAGCATTCTAAACACCTAAGCTTGGCAAAAAATCTATTAACTACAGCAGGTGTAACAGTGGGCAACTCAAAACACTTTTCTAGCTTATTTTATACTAATAGGGCCACAAAAATCATTCATTCAAGTGAGACCAGTCACCCGTTTTCATAAGGCAAGTATCATTGTACTTCAATGCCAGTTCTTAAATGATGGAACTAGTCAGTTCCCACCCCTCCAAAAAAACATATCGACAATTTTACAACCAGGTTTGGTTTCGGTATTAGCTACGTGTCCATGAAAAGCAAAAGAGAAAAGTTAGCAACCAGTCATTCTCAAATGTTGGTCCAGTACAGTACTGTACGTCAAAAGAATAAATGCTTGAGTTCATCATTGTTCATTTTAAAACTATGGTTACACTGGTCCAGTTTATCATTTGGGATCAACGCAAATTTGAGTTTTAGGTGCAAAAATATCTGCACAAGATCAGTTAGTGACATATTACCATGAAGTAGAAGATTCAAAGGAATGGTGGGCATGTTTCACCAGAGAGAGGTGCTCTCTTTTTTTTTTGTTACCTGACAGAAATCTCCGACTTGACGGACATAGCCAGCAACTTCTCGGTCGCCGGGGCGGACTTTCCAGTAGAACCGGGCGGCCTTCTTGTAGTCCTCCACTTTTGACCACGGCACAGTAGGAAGAAATCGCTCAGTGAGTGGGGCGGCTACTATAACATCGAGCTGCCCACTGTACATCAGTACCTGATTGAGGGGGAGAGACAAATTTAACAGTCAGTAGAACCACAAATGACTGCTTCAGTTTCCCACTTTACCTTCTAGTCTGTAATCAGCAACTCATGGTAGGAGGCTAAAAAAAAAAGTCAACGTGGCACTTTATCTACATTTTTAGCAGCACATTCTTCCTACTCCCCGCTTTGAAAATGTTCAAAGCTTTTCTCCAAGCTTGTTGCATGCAGTTTTGGCTCACTTCCCCCAAAATGTTTTTAACAGCATTTCCTGCAAACAACTTTGAAGCAGCGTAATCCTAAGGGAAGCCATTTAAAACATTTCAGCACGAGAGGCATTTAGGGGCTTTTATCCTTGTGCAAAAGTTTGTCACGTTTCATGTAAATGGCGAAACAAGAAATGCAATCATGGAACTTGCTGGTTTCCTTAATAAAAGGGAAAGTCAGAGCAGTTAGACTAAATTCACTTAAATTCTCCAAGAAGATGTTTTCTTCCAAGACTTTTCATGTAATGCAGATTACATGCAAGGGTATAATGTAAATGAAACAGTAGATTTACAGTTATACTAGTGATCACATGGGGATTTAGTAGCTGGCCGATACACACAGGAAGCACTGTTAATACTATATGGTTTATTGGACAAGCCTGACATTGTCAAAAATGTCCGTGCAAAGCTAAAACAGATGCTTGCTGGACTTGCTTTGCTGCTTCTCAAGAATCCAGAGAAGGACAGGTTGATAACGGAGGTTGGAGATGGGAAATCCAATTGAAACCAAAGCAAAGAGAAACTACACTGAGCTTGTTACAAAGGATTTGGCCAGAACGTCTCTACCCACTATTTGTCAGAAAATGCCTAGCAGTTCCATAAGAATATAAAAATAAAATAATGCATTCTGCAGATTCTTTCTTACCCAGGTAAGCACTTGCCATAGGTTTTGTATTCAATTTGGCTCAACCGGTGATATAGCAATCATGTCTAGCAGTAACACGTTATAGAATGTCTCATGTGCAAAGACAAGTTGCAGAATTACAGGTTGATTTTATATTTTTTCCCCCATAGTTCTCATACAGGTAATTTACTATAGGCTTTGCTGATGTGCTACTACAGTATATGAAAAGAAATCTGATTTTAGGAATGGAGAGAGATTAGTATTGACGTTTTCAAAATTATCCTGTTGTGACCAAGAGGAATTCACTGATGACAATCGATTTCTAAATAATCTACTTGCAGATTTCTGAACAGGCAAGAGCAAATATCCATCAAACATCTATCAACATGCATACAGAACCTATCAGTTTGGGTTGATTCTGTTCACACAGAACAACTAAAGATTACAACCATTTTAATTGAGAACAGATTTCTTCTATACTTTTCTTTCTAAGGTCAAGAAAGGCATTAATATTAGCTATTATTAAACAGTCACAGATGAAAAATATTCTTTTTTATCCTTTGCATTCCAAAACACACAACAGTGAGCTAAATGTGGTCATGTTTTAAATTAGCATTCCACTTAAATTTGTTTAGGTGGAGTTATGAATAATGAAGAAAGACCACTCCATGGTCTACATTACTACAGCTTGCCCCATTTCTCTTGGAATTTGCACAGACAACACTGTGCTCCTTTCCCAGTGATCCAGTGACCCTAATCTCTGACATTCTGTGGTTTCCTGTTTGGGGAAGCATTTGAACAGCAGCCCAAGCTGCTGCACAAGCCCAGCTGACTGAGTACTCGCCTCTCACGTCTGACTGATTGCGATCACTGAAACTAGACCTTGATACAGATGCTAAAAGCGTTAAAGACATCTGGAAGGAAGCCTTACCTTATGAAAATATGCTCTACTATTAAATCTTAATCAACTTTTCTTCATTTTCTCATCAATGTGCACAGTATGTAAAAGGCTGGAGGTGGAGGGTGTTTTTCTACTGCACCATACAGGAAAATTTTCATTCTTCCACTTCTTTGCAGTTTTAAGAAAAAGCTATTAAAATTACCTTTCAGTGTTTAGTGGGTGAGAACAGGAAACATGTTTAAAAAGTGATTTTTAAGAACAGATTAACCAGCTGTTCCCAACGTTTTCCTTTCGGATTTACCAAATCCTCTCTCATACCCATATAAAAACTGAAAAGGTGGTGGAACAACAAGAGCTCAATGCACAGCCCAGCTCTCAAACTATTGAACAGCTGACACCTGCAACTGCCCACAGTTCTAGACTGTTCCAAGTACTGCACTCCAGGAGGTGAGAGGGGAAATGGGTCTTCAAATCAAATGAAGGATCATTTGAGTATTTCTGAGGTTTGACATAAGACCATAACATTCCATTATTAAATCCTTTCAGTGTTCAGAAAGTGTTTTAAGGAGTACTGATAAATGGTGCAGCAGAATGTCACTGGTACCGCCAACAGTTTCAACATAATACTCATTTTTATGCTGGAAACGAAGTTCAATCATGATTGCAAAGCTCATTCTAATGCAAGATTCATCTCAGTCATATGCAGCAACATCAAAGGCAGATCCCCTGTCCAATAAAGTTTTGACTTCAGAACTAATGTCCTTATCTCACTAAGAGATGGATCATTTTGCAAAACATTGTGTTGAAAATGTGCTTGTAAAGAAACTGAAGTTTCAATGAGTATAATATTATGGTTTTAGCTATGAAATAGGAATGATTGTGAAAGGTTTCATTCCATTTGGTCTAGACTTCTTGAAGCCCCATTTAATTAGCCTGCAGTTTAACATTAATCAATGACCCTAACCTTACAAAGAGTCAAAGTTCTCCCAGCACAAACCACATGGGGTTACTTACCCCTGCAGAGAGCAAGGTATTTGCTGCCTGACCTTTTCCTCAGCGACCTTTGTAAACCGTTTCATTAGTAAAACAGGGATGTCTTAGCACGTCTTGCCTTCTTGACCCTACATTTTGATCAATTAATGCTACTGCAAACACTACTTCACAAATAATTATACTGAAACATCATATGTTATGAATACCAAATAGATTTATTTTTCATTCACATTAGTTAGCTAGTCCAGATATTGCTATTGGTGTATGAAACATCCAAAAGCTGAGGGGTGCTCTGTAAAAGTTGCCTGTAACTATTGCCATTAAAGCAAAGCATTTGAGATTTAGGCTACATGATGTCCAAGGCAATTTTGCCTCTTTTCAATTTTCCTTCTTTTATGGATTTATTTAATTCGAAAGATCTTCACTTTTTACCCCATTCAAGATACTACAAAATGTGTAATTCTATCTCACAGATCAGAAAAGCCGTGCGACTTGACCAACAGAAGGGTTCTTGCATAAAAACAATGCCATTCTGATGAACGGTGACTCAGTGCCATGAATCACCATTAAACTTGTACTGGGCTTTGTTGGAATCCAAAATTGCTTCTCTTTTTTTACCTGGTGTATGTCAGATGTGGTCAGTGATTGGGGGACAAATTCAGAGAACTTTAAATTTTTACTCCAAGAATAAAGGTAGTTGAAAGCAGTGAGTCACAGTGGCACAGTAGTTAATCTTTTTTGTCTTGTCACAAGCAAATAAAGCTTGAAACTCCACTCAACCTCCTGCCTCGATATTCATTTTGTGAGCTTGCAAATTCCCTGAGCTTTGAAACTTGAAATTCAAGTCACGCTGTAAATACTAACAGAGTAGTGAGAAGGGGAGGGGGGGGGAGGCCATTTTTACAGCTTCTTGCTCCAGGGCACAGTCCTGTTCTGCTACTTGTTAATCAAAGCAAACAGTGTTTGTCCTTTCTAGAAAAAAAAAATCCATGAGGTTTCATCAGAAATAAAACGACATTTGTGAATGAGCGCACAAAGGCTTTAAAAAAGAAGTTATGCAGATATCAAAAAAACTGCTTTTGCATTCAGACCTTTTTAGATGTTTCCGAAACCCTACATGAATTCTTTACCAAATAATTTTCTGCATCTGGGCAGAAGTTTAACCAGGAAAAAAACCCAAACAATGGTCTCCATTGGAAGAAAGGCATTTGGGATAATTTCCTTAAAACACTTGATGCTTTGAAAAATCTCATCTTGGCTTGAATAATGTATGTACTTTATAAAGTATCTGACTGAAGGTTATTTACAGCATTATTGGTGTCCATCTACAGCACACTAGCATGCTCAGTAGTTAAGATCTATGGTCCTTATTTTATTTTTTTTCCAAATTAACAAGGGGGAATGAGGGCACTACTTCAGCAGAACTCAGAACAGCTTTTACACTTTATGGTTCACTGTATGTTCGTGTGGGTATTCTTCAGTTTGCAGTCTCAAGAATGTCTTTGTCTATTTACAGTCCATGGGAAATAATAAAAAGGGGGTGAAGCAAAACATGTACAGAACTCCGTCAGAAAATAAAAATCCCAAAATTTCACATCCTTGCATCTAAATGATACTAAAACAGGTTTCCATTGAGGGACAGCTGTACAACCGTTGGAATAACAGATTAGAAATTGAAGAAGAAAACAGACCACCTCCAAAAAGGTCCAATTTCTAAAGTTAATTACATATAGATTCACTTTTAAATGAACTATGGCACATTTTAAAAAAGGAGCTCCTTTCCTTTTAATGAAGCCAGCAAGTGGGATAGTCACAGTGACAAAAGAATCAGTTTTCTGTCGACAAGCATTTGCCAGATGTTACTGTAGCTCATTCCTAGTGCAAAGATCACGCATTTGTTTCATCTGCTTCCTTGCTAGATCTCACTATTACACAGGGCAACAACTTTGTTATACTCCAGATAGACCTTAAACATTCCAGACCCAGATACACACATACTGTACACTACAGCAATGCAAGTTACCTTTTGTTTCAAGTATCTTAAGTGTCAATGAGAACTCACACGGTAGTTATCCATCAGTACTGCCAACCATGGTTTTATGGTCTTCATAACATCTTGCAGCAAGTGCTTTTCCACTTCAGAGCCATCGTGAAAGGTCAGATTCCCCACGTGGATAGATGTCCTTACTTCTATCAATGATAAAAACTGGGAAAAATACCCCTGATCTTCAGGCTCCTGTATGAGGATTGAAAAAGAAAGGAACTGTTAGATTTGTTTTAAAAGTAAATGTAATGCCCCATAATTATAAAGTTGATATATAAACAAACTTTGAACTTAATTCCAGGAAACAGTTAAAACATGTCAACTTGTCTCATCTTTCTGTATTAAATTTAAAAAAAAAAAGATGAAAAACGGCCTTAAGTCTGCGAAAGACAAACTCGAAAACCTTAATCAGCAGCCTTTATTAATTCACACATCTCTACATACTAAATTAACTTAAAAATCATGTCTAGTAGATTAAAAAAAAACTTTACTAATGCTTCCTCACAAAACTTTAAGTACATGGGAATGGTAACTATTCTATGCATGTTTTACCCACAATTGGATACATCAAGTGTCAAATTATAGTAAGAATCCAATTAATAACGATTCTAAAAATCATTCTAGTTTTCAGACAGTGCGGACACTGGAAATCACCTTTACCTGGCACTGCAGGAAGTTGAAATAGTTTTTACATCCTGTAACGTTTTCATAAAAGGATGGGTATGGGATAGTGTCTCCATTTAGCAAGATATCAAAAACCTGGGGGAAAAAAAAAACACAAATAAGCCAAGAAACAATTATGTGATGATTAAAATAAAGAGAGTGTAACACTTCTGACAATGGTTCAAGTTGATGAGAAAATCTGCTCAGTGGTATTTCACTCAGCAGTATGGAAGAGAGACAATTGAAAACACATGTTGGTATTTTCATGTCTCCCCCCCCATCACAATAGCACTCTTCTCTACATGAAAAATGAGTCTTCAGTTAGAAACAGAAACAAAACGGGTAACACAATGCCTGATGCATACCTCTTCTTAACAAAATGAGAAATAGATTTCTATCTCCAACCTCATACTTCCCAGTGAGTTAAGCCACAGCTGGACTCAGCACCTTAATTTTCTGCAAAACGGTCTTAATTATCTGGGATTTACAAAAAAACATTAAAGCGAATGTTTCAAATCAAGCAATAAATGCACTCACAGATGCATTACTGGTAGTTTTAGATCTCAATTACATGAGAGAGATAGACACATCTTGAGCCGGTAACTTAAAAGGAAAGTGCCTGCACATTTGGAGGTCATTAGTGCACAAAGAAAAACTCCTTTATGGTTACCAGCAAACCTGAACTTCAAATACTGGCAATACCATTTAAAAGAAGCCCTGCTACACTGCACTTGGACCTAGAAAGCCTACACAAAAACTCTTAAAAATATCAATAGATTAGGGTTAATAGTAACAAAGAAATCCAGTAAGTGCAGTTACCAAAATATATGATTAGAAGTATGATTAATTGGGAGTTCATGGTTCCATTAACAATCCGCAATGATCATTGTGTAGGTAAATTTTGCCACAGGAGCTTTTCCGTTCCATTTTAGAACTAAAAATCCATCCCTCTGGTAATTCCTCTTTTGCATGTTTTTTTAATCTGTAAGCCATGTGCCAGGTCATTCTCTGTAACCCCCCCACTCCACCCCCCAAGAGCTAATTATACACCAGACAGTCTGAACTGTAGGTGGCTAAGATTTGCCGAGTGGTAATTTAGAATGGACAATAACTAGCCCCACATCAAAAGACATGCGGCAGTCTCCTAGAAACTATGGAGCTATGCTCTGCAGCTGCCGTGTTTCTCCTTGCATTTCGCTTCCACCCACTACATCACGGCTCCTGCAAAAGAAATTACAGCATACCCCCTCCCAATCACCCATATCTTGGACAGACTTTGAATAAGCGGATTCAATAGACAACACAAAGAAGATGCACTGTAGTCTGTATACTGTTTGCACACCAAATTTCGGCCATCAAGATTCCCCACTGAGAGATCTGGAATGGAAAGGACGACTGCGTCAATACATTGCACCTAAACTGTGAAAACCTGTTGGCCAAAATCATAGAGGACAGATGACAACAGAAGGGCAAGTACGACAGTTAAAACTAATAGCTGAACAGAGAACTTCACCCTGTATTGCATTATACCAGCTTATAAACTGATGATAAAATATAATAACATCACTTTATTAACCCCTTACAATTTCTTGCATTAGGAATTTGTCTTTTCGCATACCCCAGCTTGCTCTCCATGAGACACATAGATAGGAAGAAATCCTGGGGTCAGAGGGCAGGGTCTGCCATTGTACAGCGCCCCTGGAGCTGGGGTTAAGGGCCTTGCTCAGAGGCCCAACAGAGTAGGATTCCCCTGCCGGCTGTGGGATTTGAACCGGCAACCTTCCAGCCACAGGCACAGATCCTTAACCACAGAGCCACCGTTCCGCCCGTGATAACTTGGAGAAATAACTTAGAGAAGCTTCATTCAATGGGATCTCTCCCCCCACCCCTTTAATACTCTCAATGACATGCAGTGCTTGTGACTATGCAGCAAGTTTCTAAAAGGGCTTAAAACTTCTGGCCCCCATTAAAACTCCCTGCTGCTCAGCTGGTTTAAATCGTTTCGATGCAGGCATGGTTCACTGGTGCTTACTTCAAAGGCTTTCACCCACTTCTGCTGCTGGATGTAGGACACCCCCAGGTCAGTTTGCTGCTGGACAAACTGTTTCTGCATCTCATCCACAATTCCAGTCTGGTACAGGAACTCAGCGTAGCCACCCAGCATCTGGCCATTGCACATTGGGAGAGAGGGGTGGGAAATAGGTTATTCCTAAAATAGAGATCAATCAGCTTGTATCTCACAATGACTGCAAACCACCAAAGTTTGATTCTACAAACCTATAGAAGACTAAAGCATGTGGAAGGAATTAGCAATAGAAAGTCATTATAAAGCCCTGTTGCGGAAAAGTTCCCCCCCACACACACACACACACACACAACTCACTCCATCTAATTACTCCCCCCCAAAACAATTACCCACCATTTCAGGATCACAGAGGCCATCTCCAATCATGACTCCTTTAAAGTTGATTTTGACTTTAGCAGAGGGGTTATGCGTGTGGATGTAGTAGCCAATAGCTGGGACATATTTCCCTGCATAAGACTAAAACAAAACAAAAACACACAAACCTCAGTACAATCACCACCATAAAAAACACATCAGGATTAGCTCCCCAGCACCTGTAACTAGGAAAAAAAGCTTAAGGAATGTCAATTTTACCTTGTAACAGTTGACTTTTTTGTAACTAAGGAGTTTAAAATCTGAAACATTCAATGTCTTTTAATGGGATAGGATCTTTTATTTGGAGAATCCTGATGAGAAAGATTCAGAGAGAAAAAGGTCTTTATTTAAGACACCTTTGTTAGTCACATGTTACCACAGCAAATGCAGCTAGAAGTAAAATTACAGTTCAAATTGTAAGAACCTGCCTGTCTGAAATCAAATTAATTGGGATGAGGTTTATTATGAATCCCCCTGGACTGAACCTTCATAATTTCCACCCAGTTATCTGTACAGTATTTCTTCAGGATGCAATGGAAAGATCCGTTTCCTCTTTAAAGGATACATTTGTTGCTTACAATGAGACCTCTTACTGTATGTCTCACTCAATTCAACTGTTGAACTCTTTTGCAAGGTGTAATTCGAGACGTGTTAAAAACTGTCAACGGATTAACCAACAATAATCCTAGGAATGCATAAGAAAATATCACTTCCCTTCCTTTGTTTTAACTGATGGAGTTAACCTCACATTTCCAAAAACTGGATTAAATCAACACTCATCACCGGTCACAATTTACCAACTAAGAACTAGGGCATGTCTGCCTATTGGAGACTTCTCCTTTTACTCAACAGAAAGTCCCTATCAGGTACTGTGGTTTGTATTCGGCATCGGTTATTAGGGTCGAATCGGCCAGTTTTGTTTTAGAGTGATCTGAACATGACCTCACCTTAGAAATTAAATGCTTTGCAATGCACGATTAGCTATTGGCATTCAGCTATCAAGGAGGCAGTCATGAACAGAATAAAAGGTCTGCCAACACAAATCTTTGCAGCTCTTCAGGACTTGGGATGAAAAAGGTATACAGTACTTTGTATGTAACTGAACAGACAGTGCCCATTAAATGGCAGCTTCTTAACCAACAAGAAAACCAATTCTTGCTGAAGTAATGTTTGCTCTTTCCAGCATAACATCAGAAGATGAGACTTAACTGTAATGAACTGCAGATGAAAGAAATCACAAACCGAATGCATTTCTAATTAAGCATTGTGTACAATTCATCAGTTCCCTGTTGCCGTGCACATCTACAGATGGACACACAACTGCATAAACCACAAAGCACTTTGTTGTCGATCAACAAAGACATACTCCCTGGATAATTATCAAACAGTATTTATTTGTTCCCATAGATCTTTCAAATAGGCCTGCCTATTAATCTCAAACTGTATTCATAAACCTCTCTCTTTTAATAAAGAGATCGCCTCTTTCTTTTAATTGCAATACAGTCTTGTTCAGATCATACTTCGTAATGGTTATTAGTTTCTCTTACCAGGTTAAAGATCTAAAGTTAAAAGCAAAAGCCTGAACACTGGTTCAATTGCACTAGATACGGAGAAATGCCATGTTTGATTTTTTTTGTGTAAATTTCTGCTCCAACTATCATTTAGAAAGAAATGGCAGTACTGTATATCAGTTTTAGGGACTAACAATCTCCTTGTCACAGTCTTAAGATATTTTTTAAACACATGCTTTCAGATTTATATACAATAGGTGTATTTATAAAAAACACCTTAAAACTGATGTACCGTAAGAGTTATGTTACTCAATATTTACTGTTGTACAACCACAAATATGACTCCCAACTGAATTCTCCCTTGGGAATGACCAAGTGTGAGAAAAAAAAAAGACAAAGGAGAACAGGCCTACCTCTCCTGTGGCATAGAAATCATTTTTCTGATACTCCCAGTATATCTGAAAGAACTGTGTAAGAGCACTGTGAGAGAACCAGAAAGAAAACATTATCTCCAGTCCTCTACACATCTGAGAAACAACAGAAATAAATAAAACAAATTTGTTTAAATACAATTCCACGTCCAACCTGTATAAATCTCTCCCCACGTCATCCTGATTCCGTGCAAAACCTTTATCATCGTCTGTGAAGCTGAACCCAGTGCCAACCTTGGGAAGAGAGAAAAGCATACAATAACTGAATCCCCTTGTCACCCAGCTCCACACTCTGATAGAAATCAACACTTTATGAAGCTTAAGTACATATTCCTTATACAAGCAAGCCATATAGTAAGAGATGGATTGCATCCTGAATTTTAGATTTGCAGTAATTCATGTTAAAAATGACAAGACACAGGAGCTCTGAGAGATCATCCCAGAGCTAATTCTAATTTGTAGCATTATCTTGCAGTTACTAAAAGCCACTGCAAAACTGTTTTTGAGCTCCATTTAATACCACAAGCATTCTTTTTTTTTTTGCTAAAAAAGGATCAGCCCTCAAACTGCTTAAGAAATTTCGTTATGAAAAAAAAATGGCTGAAAGCCTATTTTGACTATCACTTGGCTTTCCGGGTAAACCGCGAGAGGGGAAACGGGGTGCATCCACACAGACTCCAGCTTTGCTGGGGGTTCAGCCACATGCATGTCAAGAAACATGTGGCATGTGTTTGCGATAATGGTTAAAGGAAGTTCTTCCAAACAGATGTGAAAGGTCAGCTATATATATTCCCACTGAGATGGAACACTGACATGTGATGTCTGACAGAATCCTATAGTCCCATATTAGCGTGCCCTCCATAGAGGAGCAGAGAGACAGGGTCAAAAAGCAGCAGCTGGGAAAGGTTTAGAAAATGACAGTTTTAACCAATAACAGACAATGCAGACTGAAAATTTATAAAATAACCCATTAGTGGAGAATTTTACATTCGCTGCAAATAAACAAAAGAATTCCATACAAAAACCAGCAGTTACAGTACTTCTTAGCAAGTGAACACTGATTTAAACCATAAGACCACAAACACAGTGGGAACTCAATATACTGTACCCACTGAAAGCCAGATTGTGGTCGCGGAAGCTACAGTACACGGGTATTGTGAAGTCTGCTTATTAATTTTCAGAACAATACCATTTAATTTCAGTGCAGTGCTAGAAGCAGGTTGGTTACAAAGCTCTGGATGTTTACCATGTGGTGTGGATTCAAATCTTACAACGTGTTACATACAAACAAAGTAACGTACTGGGTTATCAATGTAGAGCATCGAATACTTGTCGGTCCATGGAAAGCTCCTTATACCCACTGCAAATAGACATACGATCAGGTTATTTTTAGTGACATTTCAAGCACGAACAAAGGAAAGATAAACATCACTCAATACGAGCCATCACTTCAAAGTCTGGCATTCCTACACCTCATGCCAAATCTATGACGCTAATTCACATTCACAGGTGTTCAGGCTTAAGAGCCTTCGCAGAGCTGCAAGTTGAAATGTTGCATTGGGTTTGCCTACGGATGAGAATTTACATTTTTACTTTTGAGAAATCTCATCACTCTTTGAATTGGCCAAAACAAAGGTTACATCCTTGTTTAAACAAGACTCACTTTCCCTGTCATCTGGCAGTCCACAACGCAGGCAGAATAACCTCCTAAACTGTGGAAATAAGACTGTGCACAGGGACGACTACAGCCTTGGCTCCGATTCCCCATGGCATGAGCTGCTGTTGCTTTACTTGGCACAGGCCACACACAAATCCTCATCCAATTGTTTCCCTGCTGTAGATGACCATGTCTGCAGTCTAGACTCCAGACATGACAACTAATGAACTTTAACCTGCTTACAATTCAAGAAAGGTTGTCACACCTAGTGATGGCATTAAGCGCTAGAATTTCCCAGTTTCACAGCCAAACAAAATGAAAAGAGAGCATGTCAAAGCCTGCATTCTTACGGGAAACTACAAACTCATTTTAAAGAAGGATGTCTCATTAAAGTATGGGGTCAGACACTGTCTGAACTTTGTTAACAGGCTTATTATTCTATATTTGAGAAACGAGTGCTTTAAGCTAATGCAGTAACTATTAGATGGCACAGCAACTGGCACATTGCACCACAATCATGCCAACATGAAACGATTCCCATAGCTTTTAGCGATGCCTGCTCAAGGGTCACTGCTAGAAAAACAGCTAAAGTTTAAATGATACGGTGCCATGACACTGCTTTTTCCAGAAGAGCTATATTTTTTTAATCATACAGTAAAGGCCTGAATATTGCATGCAGTATCAATCCTTACAGTACATTACTATATTTGCTTAGCAGAAAAAAAAACTAGTCAATATTTGATAGTTTTCAAAGGCTGACATATTCAAGTATTTAAAGGTTGGTTTAAAACCAGTTGCAAGATAATAAAATGCCTAATGTACATTTTCACTGTGATAGCAGTGTTACCACTTTCTGGTTAACAAGACTGATCCTGGTCACTGTTGGAATGGAAGACCAAGGTGCTGGTGTGAGTGGTACACTTCCTTCTGCACCAGAATTCCCAGTCTGACACATCAATATGTTCACAGGGGACAACAGTTTACGCCAATCTTTGGGTGATACTTTAAGCCCAGGTCTAAAATACTAGGTTATTTAAACTCTTATAGCATTGTTCATCAGAGTAGGAGTTAAAAATCCTGTCTTGGCTAAATTCCACTCTGGCTTTGCACCATCTGCCCAACATCAAGGTCCTCCTTCATTAATTTGGTGAATCAATTTCTTACTTCTTACCTACCTGGTAGAGTACATGCAAGTAAAACACACAAGTCTATTACAAATAGTTTTAATAATCCTTAACACTTACCTGTCAAGTTTTTGTATACAACATAAGGACCATGTTCAACAAATAGCCCAAACATTGAGGTACCTCCTGGACCACCCTGAAGCCATAACAACACTGGTGCAGTCTCAGGGCTTACCTAAACAGAAGACACAGGCATAGTTCAACTACTGTACGCAAAGAATATACAGTACCTTTACACACCTTGTACCCATACAGTGAAGTATACAGCGGCTCCCAGATCTTCCATTGAAAAGAGCAGTCACAAACATGAGAAGGCCCTTCAGTCCATCCAGCCCATTTGGAAATTAACAGCTAAATGATTCAAGGATTTCATCCAGCTGTTTCTCGAAAGAAGCCAGAATATCAGTTTCAAGTATTTGGCTGGGTAGCTTTTTCCATGTTTTAACCCTTAGGACAAAAAAAAAAGTGTATCCTGTTCTCTAAATGCACTTCCACATAGCTTGTCTCCTCTGGCTCATGTTTCACTGCTCATTCTGAAGAGATCCTATAGGTTGATTATTAGTGCCCTGGAGGATTTTGAATATTTTGTTATCAAGTCCTCTCATAATCCTGTCTGTTCACGAGTAAAGGTTCAATCCCTTTAGTCCGTCAGTGTAGGCATTCACTAAAGTGATTACCCTTATTCCAATCATCGGACATAGCGGATGGAAAGGATTGCCAGAATTGTTTTATTCAAAACAAAAAAAAGTGTGCATCCATTCGCACATGCAAGATTTGTTTAAAATCACTGAAGAACAAAGGAAACTTACATTATGACCATACCCCTAATATTTTTTTCCTAAAACATTCCATGGAGGAGTACAACAATACTTGTAATCCAGAAAATGACTGAGTTAATGTTCCGGGGCAGGCCTAAGCTAAGAGCAAAGCTCCAGGGAGACAGAAATCAGGAGAAATGTATGCAAGACACCATAAAGGGCTTGAGAACTGACGAAGACTTGCTGTAGCTGCAGCTCAGTATAAATGGTTCTGGTACTGTAAGTTTGCTAAACTTTGTTTTACGACATTATTTTTATGCGTTATCATAGCGATATGGAAGGAATTAGAATGGCGTTTAACCTTATTCAAGTAATGAGTCAGTTATTCTAGAGCTGTTAACACAAAAAAAACTTACAAGGTCATTTCCATCTGCAGTTCCAAACACTTTCATATAAAGTCTTTATAACCACCTTCAGATCTTGAATAACTTAGTACTTTGTTGACCTGTGTGAATATTTGTATGTCAAAGACATGGAGTCCACTAAAAGTACATCCACTGCAAAAAATAATGCTTCAGTTAGAGGCTTTTAGAAGCCATTTTAAGCCATTTTCTCTGGAGTATAAAAAACTGGATTAAAAGTTTACTTTTACATATTAGCAAATTGGTGCCCCTGAGAAATGATGGTCATCCGCTATGTCCGACGATGACAGTTGAACTTTGTGCAGCTCATCTGTTTGGAAGATGAGCTGCACAGAGAAACCTGTGCAGGAGAGCATTTTTTAAAGTGGGAAAGCCGTTGTACTGGGGCAGTCCCACTTTCTTGACCTCAGAAGCCTGGGTCCAGTGGTACAGGTAGTCGTCACAACTGCAGACTTCCTTGGTTGCAGTGATGCCTTTTTGTCCCATCACACTATACTGGGGCATTAGGAGCCACACAGACCATGGGATGAGCTCCCCCTGCTGGCCCCACTTACACCTCTTCCAGCAGCAGCCTTAATTTTGCCCAGGAGGTCAAACAGGCTCACAACTGCTTAGCTTCAGTGGGCTGCCAGTTGCGAGTTGCAGGGTGATATGGCTGCTGGCAGCCCTAAGAAATACTAAATTATGATGTATCCCACAATGACATGAATGGATATTCATTAATACATTGTTGGGAAATTAAGGGACTTTTATAAATGGAAGACAAGGCTCCAAGCGCATCCACATAAACAGGAAGCAAACTCAAGTCTTGCAAATATTAGTTTATGTACAAACCAACAGAAACGTATTCATAAACTATTTGGAAAGACTGCAAGTCCATGAATAAAGGTCTTCTAGAGAGCAAAGCTCAAAGATAAGCCAACCTGAGTGCAAACTGTAACAGACTGCACCACCTTGAACAGGTGCTATTGATAGTCACTTTGGATAGGTCTGCCAAATTAATAAATGCAAATGGAGTTTGCAGGCTAAATACTTTTTTAACCAGAGCCCCCTACATGATAAGGAGGTTTTTTTCGAACAGTTTCTGATCCATGCACATGTAAAAATTAATGTAGCAATTTTTCAAGTGCAAATTTCAAAAAGCTTTGTTGGTTGATGTAAACTGCCAGATTAAATGCAAATTGTGCAACTATTCATTAGACTTTTCAGGAGTGTCATATGGACATTTTGGTTGACAAGACCCCACATTTTTTTATAAATTGAACCGTTTATCAGGCATATGGAGACAGTCTATCATGAAGCTTCATACTTTCTGCCTGGCAGCCCAGTCTTTCAACAAAAGAAAAAAATAAAGCTTCTCTACAATCTCTATTAATTTCCACTATCATGGATACCTTTGGAATTAACATGGGCATGGAGTTTTTGATCTTGAGCGGTTTGCATAGAAGTCTGTTTTTAACCTGCAGCTGGTGACCTGCTTAAGACCGGAAAATTATCACTGCAACTTGCAAGGTGCAAATCAGTACCAGCTTTAGTTGTTCAAGAGATTCAATTACTGTAGTGCTTGTGAAGACAGACAGCTTGATGTGCGAGAGTAAAAACAGAGGACCAGCAGCATACAATAAAGTGTGCTCACTAGGAAGATAGTAACCATATTAGGACTTAATTGACCAAATGTATTTCAAGCAGGAGATCTTTACGTGATGGGGCTTGCGTTTCAAGTTTGACCAATGGCGGACATAGAAGTTTCAGACACAAAATTACAAGTTTGGTTATTAACAAAGTCTGAAAGTTTGGAGTCAGTCTGAGCAGCGGTTCATAAGAACATTTTGACGAGGTTTCAGATGTAAAGGTCTGGCTACAATCTTGGCTGCAGTAAACCTGAAATATTCGTAACAGATATAATGGCTCATCTTTCTCAGTATGATGATGCTAGCTGGCCTGGTCTTTCAACACCAGGAGCTGTAAAAGTATTTTTTCTTTGAACAAACACTTTAGATGGGACTACAAAAACCAACAAGCAAATAACACGCAAAATGATGTTTAATGTTCTTAGAAATAGTGCCACCGTGTGGTTAATCTGACTGCACTAAAAGGAAGCTGTGGAAAAAATGGATGTGTAACATCAATCACTAAAAAAATCTAAAGTGAGTTACAAGTGTTTGTAATTAAATCAATTCTAGTGTTCAATCTTAATCACACTTTCACCAAAACCTCCAGTGCTCTCTGCTACTGCCTGGACAGATAGTGTGACGTCTTGATAAACCATGTTTTTATAAATTATAATTACATGCCAATTAGAGGGGAAGAAACCTTACCTTGGCAGGAAAAAACCAAAAGAAGAGGTTGCTGTTGTAGGTCTTATTGACTGTGAGGTACCCAGAGTAGCTTTTCACATTTGTTCCAGGGAGAGGGCCCACTAAACTCAACGTCCTGGCTAAAGGAGCAAACAGCAGAATTGACACCAAACAAATTTCACATTCCCTCACGAAACGCCAAAAAAGGCAGTACACAAAGAATGCTGGTACTGTACAAACTGTTCCAAAATAGATTAAAAAAAAACACACAAATTTTGCCGTATTTGTGTTCAACAAACCTAGTTACGCCTTTCATTCTTGTTACAACTTTACCACACTTCTTCCTATCAACACCAGTTGTGTTCTTAGCTTAGATCAGGAGCCACTAGACCTATACTTTGAAAATTCCAATCCTGTCAAAATTATGGGTCATCCTAAATTCTCATTTTCCATATATCTGAGATATTAATAAGTTACTAATTAAGGTCAAGGGAACTCAATTTTTGCCAATGGCCTATGTGAATCTTATAATATAATCTTCATTAAGCACAGCTAAGTGCTCTTTCCTCAGTCCTGTCTCACAGACCACACTGGTTTTGCTGTGTTTTTCTACAGCTACCCAAATGTTGTGATGAAGTTATAACCCTAACACGGTCAGAACCCCACTTAAAGTAGTAATGAGAAAAAGTTATTGACAGGTTACAGTGATGATTTTCATCGTACTTCTCACAACACAATCACAATCTGCTCCATCTTGATTTCTGTTTAGAGGCAGGGGTGTTCTAAAATGGATGCAAAATAAGCATGACCAAAAGGAGTAATTCCGCAATACATTTTTGGAACGTCTGGTTACATTTCTTGAGTGAAAGGAATGTTTTCATTATATCAACATCAATAAAACACCTTAAGAAAAGCAAAAAAACAACCACATAGGAATGTATAAGGAACATCAGATTTGTTAATTGAATTATATTTTACAGCTTGGAATCAGCATACACCCAAAAGTCAACTGAGAATATCCTAAACGAACTCACAGAAGTTTTAAAAGACCTTACCTTCATCAATATTCCCCGCTTCCAGATAAGGTGTGAGAAACAGAGGCTGCCCTGGGACAGGTCCAGCTGGTCTGCTCAGATGGGCATTTCTTGAACAGAAAAATCTGGAGCATCTCTTGGCAGAGCTTGGTTCAAAACCAGCCCAAAGGAAGACAAACCCAAGAAAAGCAGTCCTCAGCATCCTACAAAGAACCCATCAAAGACAACAATGAAGGACTTGCTCATGAAAGTGAGCAATAACATACTGTAACAAAACAATGAGAGTTTGCCTTGATGAATGCCAGAGTACTTTTGCCAAAGAGTTAACCATGTTCATTACACTCATTGTGTAAGTTCTTACCCTTTTGCATTTCCATAGTGCAAATGTGTAGAAAAGGTTACAAACTATCTACAAGGAAGTGCAGTGCACACCCTAGCATTAGTGGAATTCCTTCTCCCATGAAAGGCAAGAAATCAATTCTTTATGTACAAGTTATAGAATCATTTTAATTGCTTAATCTCAAGTGTGTATATTAGCACTAGTTTGTATTGTATACTAAGTAAGCAAATGAAAAATTAAGTTCCCCACACTCAAAGCAAATAATAATGAATATGGCTGGAAAAAACAGGTCCTTGTTATTGCAGAACACTGTTCACGCACATGATCATTACGAAACTGAGATATTCGCGACGAACTCTTAACAGACGACCTTTTATGATCTCGATTTCAGTGGATACTTTTCTTTCCATTTATGACACCACTAATGCCCGTGGACATTGCAGAGGATATTCATTTACAAGTATGCAATCATAAAGGATTTTTATCAAATACGCAAAACGTGTGACTCGGTACAGAATCCACAGTAACTGCTGCCCTTAGTTATACGTTTCGTCGTCTTATTTAAACTCCCTAATTCTTAGCATAGCGGCGTTACCTCCCGTTTTTACGGTACGCTCTCCCTCTCCCCAAGGCCGGGCTCAAGGCACAGGCTTTTCCGAGGAGCCTCTTTTTCTCCCAATAGGCCCAGATAGCGAAAATGAAACCGCCACGGTTTTGACCCAAAAAGGGTAGTTTTGTAGAGTCGCCGGGACTTTTCGCTTCATTTGTACTTAAAGACACCGAGATCTCGCGTATTTCACGGTAAAATTACATCTCCCGGACCGAAACACTCGCACTGCTACCTGACCTCGTACGAGAAGAAGAAGAATCAGTGGTTGCTCCCTGCTGCTAAATGGAGTAAACTTCAGAAGCGAAACCTTAAATTCTTCAAAACAGCAATTTGGAAATGCAGAACAATATAATAATTCGTTTTCACTTCTACCTAACGTTTTCAATGTGTGCTGTACACTCACGGGTTGCTATAGGTATTAAACGAAACCTGCATTTCCACAATTACATTATTTTTACCTCGTGATTTTTCGTAGATTGTTTACAGCACGGTTATTATCTACTTCCCCAAAGCAGTACAATTCCGTAAAGGACATATAGTATTAGCTCGCTCTTGCATATTTCAGCATCTCAATCGTATACAAGTCGTGAAAATACTGTAATCATCTTTTTTACTGTGCTTGCAACACACTTGATGTCTGCTTAATAGAACAAAATTAAAGAGTATATAAACTTAATTTTCTGCATTTCCACAGTGCAATTGTGAGGAACGAGATGCAAACATTATATTTTTACCTTCAAAATCAATAACTCCCATCAACTTTTCCTTGGTCAGCCCAGTGTCAAAATGCTCTATTTCAACAACTTCAGCATATAGAAATTTACACAGCATCTCCTCAATTTGGATATTTTTTAACTAAACCGCTCTTACTAGTTGAATAATTGATGATGAAGAGACTCAGGTGGGAATGGCAGAGATGCCTACAAGCAGAACGTTTCACAGAATTGCTTAAGATTCAGGCAGCACACCTGAATGAGGGCAGTCCTGAAACTCAGAATTGGTAAAGAGCTGATACCAATTACAAATCACCTTTGGCACTGACAATTTTAAAGCAAATTTAGAAATGGGTTATTTTCTGTTTACATGTGCTCCTATTGTTCAATGCTTGATAAAAAAAAACTAGCCTGTGTTGGCTAAATGGTGGACTGTCTGCATTAGGTTTATCTGCTCAAAATATAACAAAACTTTTAAATATAACAAAGTTAAAACGTATAGAAACTTAATTTGATTATGTTAATGATTACTTAATGTTTATGTCATAGTCTGCAATAGTTAAACAAGTATACTGCCTGTGTAGTGGCTCCACTGAAGGTCCAGTTGTGGAGTTGTTTAGTATCTCCTCTTGAAATTTGACTAATAATCCTTTAGTTGAGAAGACAGAACATGGTGGTGGTCAGAACACAGTCAACATAAATTCCATTAAAAATGTATATGAGAGCATTTAAAAGAACACACTGTACATGGCTTTTGAGCTGCTGAATTTTCACAGAAACCAGTTTTAGTCAGAACATCTTTTTCTGATGTTGAGACTTAATAGATCCCCTTCCTTTATAATAATTGCAAATGCATAATCATTTGCATGAAAAAATGCAAAATAAAAATGGAGTCTACCCAGTTTTGAATAAGAAACCAAATCCCTGCCAAACGTAAGCTGAAATTTTCATGCTCCTTTCCCTTCAGTACTAACAATGTTGCAATTTTTTCATGTTCATCCCAAGTAAGGCTTATTAATATATGAGATTGTCTAAACATATGAGAAATGTAAAGAGACTGTTGTTCTCATTCTCCCAACACAGACCCGGAGTTGTACAGTAACAGGACTTACAGCTGTTACAGTTCCAGCAGACCATTCACCATGCAAAGGTACACTATTTGCCTTTTAAATATAAGCAGGACTACCACACAGCTGAACCCAGGGAACACTAGGACTTGTGTGCTCACGTGACAGTGAAAAACTTTCAAAAGTTTCACCATTGTCAACTTCTTATGTTCTTTTGTGAGGAAATGGGAGAAATGTTGGTTCCCTTTCTGTGTGGAATGTGAAAAGGCAGTACCTTGCACTGATATACTGAGTCTTGTACTAATCAGTCCCGTGAGGCTGCAGACAAGTCATCTCAGTCATCCCCTTGTCCTGAAATATGGATGTCAAGTGCTACTGAGTAGTTTTAAAGGGAAACTGCAGCCCCGGTTATTAAATCTCAGTAACAAAATAAATTCATTGACTTTATAGGAAAAAAGTACAAATTGTGAATTAAGCACAAAATAGCTGTAGCAAACTCACATTCGAGTTCCCATGAATTGCCACATGATCCAGCCCTTCCTGCTTACTAGTCTCTGTGATGACTAATGTCATGTGATGTACAAGCAGACAAAAACAGGTTGTGCAGCAGAAATGTTACCACAGAAATGATCCATTTGACAGCAAAACTGCATTGAAATTGAAAGCAACATCTCTGTTAGATTTAAAGAGATGTATTCACAAGTCTGCTTGTTTACAACGTAACAGGGCCACACACGTCACTGAAGTTTTGTTGCCTTGTTCTGAATCGCAGAACAAGGCGCTGCGCATACCTGAATATTTAGTCTATTTTGTGATGGAATATTGAGGTTTTACACGTTACTGTGTACATTTTACTTTTATTGTGGTTTGAAATGCACTCATTCATGCCAATTATTTCTAACCCTGAAATATAAAAGTAGCATTGCAGTTCCCCTTTAAGAAAATTTAACAGTAAATATACTGTAAGTGCAGATACCCCAGCAACTGGATGATGCAGAACTGTCATTTAGCCTAGTGGCCAGACTTATTGCCACGTATGGGATTTTAAAATTGGCCTATTGGAACACCTGGACAATGAACATCAGTGCACTGTGGAGTCCAAAGTATTTTGTATGTGAACTGAATTTCAGTGCTCAATAGTGTATTTTTCACCACTCATTTACTTCAAGAGGCTAACAGCCATTGCAAAACACCCTATTAGAGTTATTTTAGAATCAACAGATCAACCCTGGATCAATGATTCCTGTTCTTTACTTTCCTGTTTTTAACCCCCTTTCTGAGACTCAATATTTTGTAATACCCTAAAGAGTGGTGTTTGTGAACAACAGCTGCTCCCTACCCCTGTCTGACAACAATGCCCAGAGTGGTTTATCAAGCCTTTGCTATTTAACATTTGAAATCAACATGTTTTCCCAGAACAGAAATTTTAAGAAAGAAAAAGGTACTGATTCTGTCACTGAAGACCCACAGTCATCACACCTGTTCATAAAAGTCTGTTACTGACATTTATTGGAATTAACTTTATTTTCTCATTCACATTGAAAGTCAATTATTTTCAGATACAGTGCTAGCAAATTGGACAAGACAGACAAAATCCCCCTGCTGACAACAGGCCAATAGTCAGTTTTCCCAAGATCCTCATGTTTTCACATTCCCGGCAGAAACCACGAAGGGACGGGTTCCATCGGTCTCCACTACCTTCCTGTCCACACAAGAAGCCGCAGGGATAGGGGACCCCTACAGCATCCTGGGATCAGAGCATGCGCCTGAAATTGGCCATGGCCTCCTCTACCTTCTGGAGCTCCGTCAGGCTCTGCTGCAACTGTGATATGGGATACAGGGAGTAGAATTATAAGTAAAACAAATGACAGCACCACAAACAAACATGCTCTGTGTCTTAAGTTACTTAACATGTAATCTAATGCTACAGACTATTCCGGATAAAGGTGCTTGCTGGCCCAGGCCTCACCTTCTCAGCGTCGCTGTCCTGCACCTTCGCCGGCACCTTCTCCCGATAGTCGGCTTTGCCCATTCGCTCCTGCAGCTTCTCCAGCTGCCTGCGCAGCTCGGCCTCTTTCGCCGTCAGCTTGGCGATCTCCTTCTCTGCGTCAATCAGGCCCTTCGGACAACAAGCAGACGGTCACCAGACTGCAGGCATCTTCTCGCATCAGTAAAAAGCCTCCTCTACTTATTAGGGGATTTAGGTGTATAATATATGACCACACAGACATGCGTGGGACACCTTTCAGGCTATTGGTGTGCGTTTAGAACATGCAGTTGCTAATTATGGGGAAAAATATTGCATAAATCACTCTCTGTATAATTATGCAAGGAAGACAGAACCGTGTTTTACGACTTTTAATTCTGCCTTTCTCATATACCGTATAAAATTAAAGTCAGCAGCCCCCCCATCAAAAAATGGCAAATTATTTTCCCAAAAGGATTATTCTAAGAAAAATGAAATGTCTATTACACTGGTGTTAGTTAAGCCACAATCACGTGCCTTAATAATGAGGCTGTCTATACCTGTTAACTTAGACTTTACTTAATGAATTCTTGCACTGCAGATCATGTCGTCATGCTGTTAAAACAACTGCACATTTGCTATTAATGCCACAGTATGAGGTGAGACCTGTGCAAGTATCTTTTTAGTGTATTGAAATCTGAGAAAACCCCAGCCAGAAGCAGCGCACCTAACAAGACCAATGCTCGGCCAATTCTGTCCCCACCTATGATGACCCGGTGACGCATCCCACACTCAGACCTGCAGCAACAGTTTGGACCGCAGGGCTCAGCCTGCTCTTTGACAGCAGTCCTAGTGAGTACTGTTAAATATCGCAGCCTTGGCCGGGCTTCACCTTCAGCAGCAGGTGGACAGTGCACTTGTCCGATGCGATGGCCACAGCACAGCCCTCAGGAGGTGTCTTGGCCTGCAGCGCCACCACAGACTTGGAGGAGGACAGAGTCTGGATGTAAGGACTATACTGCTGCACCAGGCTGTCTGTCTCTGCGTCCAGACACTGCAGGTAACCTGGAACACAGGGAGGAGGGAAAATGAGAAATATCAAAATCCAGAGAAACTTCCAGAACAATGCTCCCTGTCTGAGAAATCACCAGCCAGAAGGGAGGAAACACACCAAAACCGTCTCACGGAAGCAATGCTAAAGAGGAACTGAACAGTTGATTTGTGTAAATGGTTACTGTCTGTACTGAGTGTAATAATTCCAATGTTTTAGCTGGTAATTCCAGATTACAAAATATCTCATGCCACCTCTGCTCTGCACAAGCAAGTCAGTTCTACAGTGAGCCCTGTTCTGTTTAAAGGGGACTAAAAGAAATAGCACATAAATGCTAAACATCTACAAAAATATCTTAAATGTCTGAACGCACACATCATTTATCATTTATTGATTCAAACCTAGAAAAATGAAGTTCAACTCACAGTCAGCCTTGGTCTTGGTGAGGTTGTAGTCAGCCCTGAGAGAGCGGATGGTCCTGACAACTGTCATGATGAACTCCATATTCCTGTCAGCCTCTTCGCTTCTCCAGCAGAACTGAGAAAAGATGGAAAAAAAGGAACGTTATAGCAATGTCTGAGACAACAAATCCTTTCAGAATTCCTAACAATTAAAATTTCCAAGTGAGAGCAGTGGGACACTTTCTCTGGTCATCGTTTACCTCTGATGTCTCTGGGTAAGGCGAGACGCAGATACTGGGTGGGGCCTGGGCGGAGCGCTTCGGCAACCGCTGGAAGAGCTCCTCGGTGACAAATGGCATCAGAGGGCTCAGGAGCCGCAGCCCCACCTCCAGGCAGGTGTACAATGTCTCCCTGGAGATGGCCACAGCAGTGACATCACTTCCTGTGAACACGGGCTTTAGGCATTCCTGCAAAAGAAGTGTAGCATAAGAAACTCTTGACCATAGACTCTTGTCTTACAGTATGTATGATTAAAGCAACAGAAGGCACCTGCAGGGACACATCCAATATTGTGTGTTCAATTGAGGAAACTGCTGCTTGGCAATCAGTACAGATAAGAACAACCAAATATATCCACAGGTTTAAAGGAATACCCTACTTTGACATGGCACTGACAAACTGAATCTTATAAACATCTTCAGGATCAAAAGTCAAATACAAGCCAGGGGACACGGTAAACTTTAAACTGAGAATGGGAGGCACTGTTTTATACAAAGGGTTGTGGGGGACAGGAACAAGCTACTCTGTCATGTTGTTGAAGCTGATATACTCTGGTTTCTTCCAAAATGTATATGGATGAGATTCTCAAATCAATAAGCTACTATTGTCTTAATGATTTATACAGACTGAATGTTTGTGTCAATCATTAAGCTACTACTAGGCTTCTTAGCCCCTCTTATTTAGAACATTTCTCATGTTCTAAGTGCTAAAAATATTTTAAAAAAGATTTCTAAATCTTTTGAATCTGAAGCTAAAATTGAATTGAAATTGAATCTCCTAAAAAAGGATTCCACCAAGAGACCCAAGGGGCTGTGCTCCAGGATAATCAGTAAGTAGAGGACCTGGCGTCACCACAAGAAAATAAAAGCAGAGGCATTCAGCACAAAACGCAGGAGGCCCTTCTGTACAAAGAGAGAGTCAAGAAGGCAAAATAAATATTGTACAGATAAAGCTTTACAGAGGAGCATGTCGGCACCATATTTAAAAAAGGAGAATGCCAATACCAGATAGACATCACACAGCTCATACAACCAGAAGTTGTAGACCGCTGTAGTAATGCCTGGGAAATCATAGCTCTTGAACCCAGAGTCACAGAGCTCCACGGCGTGAGAGAGCCGAGACAGAATCCAGCGATCGACCAGGGACTCCTGTCCACCCAGCTAGGAGAAAAGAATCGAGAGAGATGTCAGTCAAGCATGGCACATGGCAGACAGAGCTGAGAACACGCAATGATCCTCTAGTGTACAGGAGAGTGTTACTGTATTGAAATTGTGTAACAGCCTTTACATGTACAGGATAGCATTACTAGAGAGAGAAATGAAATAGTAAAATAAGACCAATAACAAGCCTGAAACCAGATTGTAGAAGCATTGTCATTTTTTATCCTGTTACACTACCAAACAAAGACCGACAGGGAAGCTAGATCAGAGGAATGTAGTTTTAATTCATTATTGAGCCAAAAACACAATAATCTCTCTTTGAAGCTACATTTCACCTCCACCCTCTCTCTTGCAGCTCACCTGAGCTGCTCCCTTCGGTGAGAAGTTGTCTCCGAGTCCCCGGATGGCGAATTTGGTGGCGTTCCACAGCTTGTTACAGAAGTGCCTGTACCCCAGGATGCGGTTCACATCCAGGTTGATGTCACGGCCTGTCACAAACAGAAGGGGAAGAGGGGGAAAAAAACCTGAGAGATTGATGGAATTACTCCAGCTGCAGTGAGCACACAGGGAGGGCAAAGAAAGTTCCTCTGGCCAGTGTGAGCACACAGAGAGTGGAATATTATTACCCCGGCTGGTGTGAGCACACAGAGAGTGGAATATTATTACCCCGGCTGGTGT